ATACTATTCCATCCGACTACGCTATCGTGTTCCTCCTTGGTCTCGTATTCGTGGGTATATAACAAGTCCGAATAATTAGTGATTGGTCCTTGCGTCTGTCAAGTTCGCACCAGGACAAATCCTAAATACCTACCTCTTCTTTACCTACTGAGATCATTTTTACGATTCTCCTCAGGTCAGGGTGATCTTCATCTCCTTCACCTGGTCTGGTCACCCTGGAAGTATGCACGTCTGTGGGTGCTCCTGGTAATACGTATCTAGCGGTGCCATCAGATAAATGCAAATAGTAGGCATGGCAGTCAGAGGGATAAGTTCATTGCAACTCCCTGAAACTCTAGACGGTAACATTAAAGAGTAGGCCAGTATCCCCGGGTCCCGTACCGACAGACTTTGTGACCCTTTCGGGATATCGAAGACGTTAGACCTGAAGCACCTGAAAGCTTCCCCGAAGCCGTCTGAGAGAAAAGCGATCAGCTTCGCTCATCGACTCATCATCACTGGGTCCCCACAAAACTTCAAGTCGAACTATCAGTCCCATTGTTGGGTCGTTTGCATCGCAAACTTCATATTAAAATTTGCTTATGGAGGTTTTGATATTACCCGTACAAAAGCTAGCCAGACTTATCGGTTGCCCACTTTCTGGAATTGCGTGCTATATGTAACCGGTTTCCAGACTGATAGCATCCGTTAACTGATTTCCTTTCGTATGACATGTGTGTTATGATAAATATGCCATGATTATTATTAATACTCATGGTGGTCTCGAGAAAAAGGCTCGTTGCTGCCAACGGTCCTCGGTTAGCTAGGACAGAACAGTTCCTATAACTGGGTTGGGTACGTCGTTGGAGATGGTGAAAGCGGATTTGGGATCATGGCACAAGAGCTTGGCTGCAGTTGTAATCGCTCCCTTGAACTCAGGAAGAACAAATTTAGTCTGAAAGTTCAGACTCACACATCGTGTAGTCTGATGAGGCAGATCTGTCAGTGGCCTCATTACAGAGGCACAGTTGAGGACAAACCTTTAGTAACAACTTGACAGGTCGTTGGAAATGCGAAATTACTTGGCAGTGGTTGGTTCCCGTGGTCCGGAATAGCTGACACTTGATCTTTGAATGAGAGAATATTTTTGTTGTCCCTATTAGGCTTAGAGAGATCGACCGATCCAAAATCTGTTTGAAATTTCTAGGTGTTCACTGTAAATGCCAAAATTTTCAGTCTGTTGAATGCCCGCGTCAAGTGCTCAAAGTGGAGTTACTTATCTTGACTGGCAACGAGACAGCCATTGTTGCGAACACATGGCGTGATTGTAGACGATAGGAGATATCACTTGTAGAGCGATTGGATGTTTGTGCTGGAGTTCAAAAACAAAATGGTATGTGCTGAAATTCAAACTGTTCGTAAGGTGTTTTAATGTGCATCTCCCTCTGCCGTCACAGGTATCTGATTATACTTTTTGGCTGGATCGACCTTGCTAATTGCACATAAAGTCCGAGTTAGGTCATAGACCTGAAGTATCGGGTAGCAGTCCGACTTAGTTTCTTCACTAGGCTTTCAGAAATCATATGTCAAATTTTTCGGTATCATGTGCAGCGGCAATGCCCATGTGCTATTCGAAAGTTGGATGATGCCAAGTTCCGGTGTGTGGACCAATTAGTTCTTTATCACCTCTAAGTTATCGGGAGCTTTGCCATGGAGTTTCGATGGCACAGATGGTCTTCTAGTTGTGATATGATTTTTTACAGTTACTGGTTATTCACAGTAGAGCAATCGTCTGTTGTCTCAACATCAGACATCTTCCTAACGGGTTCGATTAAAGAGGTCAACGAAGTGTTCCGATCCAAACTAGGGTGGACCGGGGTCTACGCGGGTGGTCTTGCCAGTGGACAACTTTGTATTATTATCTATCAGTCATCATTGACGGACATCTATGAGCATATAGTAATGGTTCAGCAAATCTTTGCACATAATAGGCATGGAGACGTCAGCTGGAAGGAAAATTCAGTGCAAAGGTTTAAGTAAAGCTACATTAAGGGGGTCACTTGTCTTTCCAGAGGTCACTATCGGCCTTCCGTTGGGGTCTTGCAGATTGGAGGACAGATCGTGAGGACTTATTTTTGTGGTTATAGGAAAAACACTTCTGAATTACTGTCTAGGAGATAGTATGCGTTTGATTCCGCATCCAGCTTTTAAGGGCGACTATTTTTTGCGTAATGCGTGCCAGTGTGACGCATTTTCGAACTTCGTAGAGTCTATATTGAAAGTGCACGGTTTTCGACAGCCTTAAGCTTTCTCATATTATGTGTTGTGCTATAAACACTTTTTACGGTTTTGAACACTTGTAAGCTCAGCTATCAAAAGGTCGCGTGAACAGTGTTGGTGGGATGAGTCATGCGATTGCTGCATTGTTTGTTTTTACTCAGGACTGTGAAGCTGCATTACTGTGTTGCGGAGGTGTAATCGAAACATGCAAGTTATTTTTTAACTGACTACAAGCACATCCGGGAGAAATCTCCATTATTTAATTAGACGAAACTATCAGATATTCGGTGGTCAGGGGTGGGAGTGTTACAAGCCCGTTTTGTACCATCTTGGATAGATTAGAAGAAATGGCTCATGGAGAAGGCCTTCATTAGGCAATAATTGGTTAGTCACTTCTAACTTTTGTGTATGTCGGTAGCTGATTTATTCTATAGCTCGGTGCCACAGAGTTATTCGTCTTAGTTTTGATCATCTTTGATATAAGTTTCTTTCAAAATGGTTGTTTTGAGCAGTGTACATAGGTCACTTAATTCGGTAGTCAACATATTTGCTGTTGTGTAACCATTTACTTGTTATACGAGTTAATTTACGCCACCACGGAAGTAAAACAAAGAGATTCGTGATGCCTTGTTTCCACAGATCGTCTTTGATATACGGAAGCCAAGTCCTTGCGCTGTCAGACCAGCATGACCCAAGCTGGATTGGGCGTTGTATCGGTTTATCATGACACAGGGATTTGAAAACTTATAGTACGAATATGTACATAAAGTTATAGGCGTGAAGTATAGATTCAGAGGTAAAAACAAAGAACTACCTAAGCTTTTTAAGATTCGTCACACGCCTGACTGAGGAACACAGGGAGCAACCGCTAATTCTTCATAATTTCTGAATACCTATGAGTGCGAGATGAAAAAAGAACACAATTAGATAGCCATTTATGAATCTTGCGCTCCATAAATCGTGCAGATATGCCGAGATGTGTGAACTAACTGGCCAGAGGGCTGTGAAAGAACAACACTATGTGACAAAATGGTCCAAATGGCATAGATGCTTGATTATATGCTTTCAGCTTGAAAATTTCGATAAGAGCTGTGACACTCGGCGTCATTGTTAATTATGGTTATACCATAGGCCGGCGAAATTGGTGGATTATATGCCACTGAACCATGGAGTTTTTGCAAATTAATATTTATTTAACGATGAAGTCCTAAGAGACCTTCTGCCTATACTTTTTAATTGCTTGTTAGTTACGTTTTTACAGTCTTTCAACAGTGGATAGGTTTTATTCTCATGCAAAAGCTTTTGTTCACTTCATTTTCTGAACTCGTTGTTCATATTTTAAAGCCCGTGATTTGTCAATAAAACAGAATTAAAGCTATCGGTGAAAAGGGTTTCCAGTTTCCTATCTTCTGCCTGGTTTAGTCAATGACTCACGAGTATGCGATATAAGAATAATATCTGAACAGTGAGTTTATTTAAAAAAATGTACTACGGTGCAAACCCCAAGATGCTATTTGAATTTATAAAGCGAAATTACTTCACCTACGCTAACAGTTTTACTAACCATTATAACCGAAACAATGGCACTGTCGAATAACAAGTGTTTAGCATATGAAATTAGTGGCTTTTAAGATAAACTTTAAAATCAAATAAGTCTTAAGATACGAAGTTACTTCACGTGAGCGTCTGAATCACAAATGGTTTGGTTGAATATCTAGGAGTTACTAGAAGTTGCTTTAAAACTTATCTCATACAAAAGCTGTTTACATTCACTCTTCAGTAAGTTCATTGGATGCAATTAGGTATTGGAAGGTTTGTCATACAAATTCAGTTAAAATGTGTAAATTGCCTAACCTATTTATCCTTTTTAGGTCTATACCACTGGTGACACTACATAGAAAAGACTAGAATAAATTTGTACTCAAGAGTGTGAAGATAAAATGATGAGTTGTAGTGCATTTTTAAAAGTCGGAAGAGTTTCAGTAATTATGAACAATAGTCTTTCACACTTGTCTTACATGTAATGGTTTTTGCTTCACTGACCAGTGTTGCTATACTTTTCCCAACATATCGTCAGATTCTAAAACAGACAGTAGTAATTGACTGTTTCATGTCATTTTCAGGTAGTATAGTATGGAATTATCATGAATCTCGTCTAAAGCTCTCATCATTCTGGCCTGATAGCGAGCTTCGACAAGCAACACATTATTCCCTGTTAACAGGAATAACTATAACCACAGATTACAAATTTGAATTAGGATGGAATTCCGTTTTGATCAGTTACTTGAATCCCTTGCATACAACTGAAATTCTAACAATCCCTTTTGTTATAAATGTTTTTCTAAGTCTTTACCAAGCAAACCATGAAAAGTTTACGATTTTCTAAGGGCTTGCTCATTTCTAGTTTGTCTGTTACACAGTTCCTGATGAATTTGTAGTTATAAAACATCTCGTTACTAAGACCAGTAAAAAATGTACGCCGACAGAAATCTTGTTAATAATCATTATATTTGAAATATTATTAATTATTGCGTAAATAAAACTAATTATAGAGTTTCAAAATTAATGTAATTGTTGTTTTCAAAGTGACTTTAAGACAAACTATTTCAGAATTCAAAATATTGCTATTTTGAGGATAGAAATTTGAAAACCATATCATTCGTTAAATGATTGAATAATAATATAACTAAGTATTTAATTTCATTTTCTGTAGTATATGGTGTAAGTAAGTGTAAACAGAACTAAGGTGATAAGAGAACAAATATATCCTGTGACATTGCTCTGTCTTTTGAAGTCAAGGCTTCACAATTGTAAATTCCATCATCGCCTTCTCTAAAGTTTTCAATTGTCAGACGACTTTTTGAACCTTTACATCCTAGTGAACTGGGCACAGCTTGACTATGCATACGTGTTTCATCACGAAGACACCTCCAGTTGAAGCGCCAAATAATCATTGGTGGTGGTACACCAGATGCTTCACATTCCAAAATTAATCTCCCACCTGGACGAACTCTGTGAGTTTCTTGACCTTGGGCTTGGATTATTGTAGGTGGAGCTAAAATGAAAAGTTGGTTTGATAATGATATTACATGTTTTAAAAAACAGTCTTTAATTGAAGTTCAGAGACATAAATCAATTGAAATACAAATCCAGAAGTGTATAATATTTCATATGAAAAGAAGGAAAAATCCCTGTTAAATTACAGCTTAGGATATAGAAAAATTGCTCGTAAAACAGTTTTCATCGTGAACTGCAGATCCAGTAAATTTAGTAGTGACGTTCCAAAGGAGCAACTTTAGTTTCGTCCTTGAATTAAAAGTCTTTTTCTCTGCCAATAATCACAAAAAACATCGGTAAAGAAAGGCATTGAAATACCCAAAAACTTCAGATGGTATCTAGGCAAAAATTACCCGACGAATTCCCTTCATTTCTCAAGATTCATCAAACCTATGTCTCTTTTACATGAGACAGAAAGGTTGACCAAATTTTGCGTATACTGTTTACACTCAGTTAATCTATTGACGCGTTTAATTTGATACTCTAAAAGACCTGTTACAATTCATTTCATTATTCGAAACAGTTCCTTGAGAATTCTATATGTAGACCAAATAATATCATCATCAGTGGTATGGACGAGCTTTGCTGACAAACGTTCAAAACTTATTTCGAAGCACATTTACGCCGTATGTAATAAACTGCACTTAGTATAAGCATCCTCAGTCATTTGGGAAGAACAGTAATTAGTTGTACAACATATGATTTTAAAAGGCTTAGAGATTGTGTAATCATGTTTACTGTATTTTCTGAAGAGGATACACTTCATCCTATAAACTCTTATTCATTCTTTCGGATAAATAGATTTAGAAGTTCAGAAGTGGCCTGAAACTGTACTCTACTGCGGTAAACACTGAACCACGTTTAGGCATTATGAAACAAGAGTGGATTGTAAAAAAATTTGTCCTAAATTCTCAACGTTTTGATAAAATATTTCACTAAAGCAAAATAATCTACAGATGTACAAGCTGTTTTTGAAGAACACTAGAATGTTGCTTTAATTTTTTGGACTACCTGAAAGTAGTAAGTTGAGAATCAAACTATTTCAATATAATTTTTCCAAAAGGTGATAGTGAATGTTTGTAGCACAGTAAGTTAATTTCAATCGATAAGCCTTCTTTGATTTGCATAGGTTTTTAATAGCTACACTGATCACTTTCTTCAGCTCAAAATAGAAGACTGGATAATACATAACGTATTCACTGGGAGGCATACTTTTATGCTTAATAGCATATTCAATTGCTTATTTGATACAGAACACAGGGACACAGTATTATTTACTGGATAACTTTTTGAGTATGATTTACTGCTCAAATTCAAATCAGTCTTTGATATCAGTTTTCAGTGTATAGTCCTCCCAATACTAAAAAATTTAGACTGGTGGAAACTTCTGACGCTCACAATATTTATTCTTAATTTTTGGATTTAGAGTATAACCTCGTTGACCACCTTTTTTGAAGCTATGGAGTTTGAAAAGTTCTGAACAAGATAGTATTTATTATTCATTTTGTGATAAGGTCTATGAATACGTACTGATGACGAGCATATTACAATCCAAAAAAATAAAAGTGATCTTACAGCAATCATCCTCATCTTCACCACCTCTACAATCACGGCCACCGTCACACCAATAGGCGAATGGTATATACTGATATGGTTCTGACCGACATCTGAAGTGAGTGGCACCACATTCTTTATCAGGCACACGGGTATCTAAAAGCAAAATGAATCCGCAATTAATTCATGGTCCACATAGCAAGCTATACAGAATTATAATTCAGTTTACTGGTATCGTAAATGTAACCAGTCTTCAGTTGATTAACCTTGTTTTAACGAATCACTTTATTTCACTAATTTAGAATAAATGGAAGGATTATAAATTTTGTGTTTCTTCTGTTGAACATATATGATTTCCCAAGTCTGGTAGATAATGCTTTGATATTGAAAGCAATTAACCCAGGATCCGATTTTCAGTGGAAATATGCAAACAAAGGAAGGTAGGTCCAGCTGAAAAGGCCGAATCCGGACGGAATCCGGTTTCTCGATCTCACTGCTAACGATCACTGACTTCAAAGTGCTCGAAAAGAGTCCGTTGTTGCGATTTATCTCATATTAGATTTTTGTACGATGCGTGTAAATTAGTCAGCTTTTAAGCAGTCAACTTACATTATGCTCTGAGGTTATGAGGATTTAATTTTTAAGGTAGTATTCAGTCCGTAATGAATACTACCTTACACTGTCTCTGCTGGAAAATGTAGAAAGCTTCAAAAAGTTCTAACGTATGATAACGTGGCTACCTGATATAAAAAAGCTGTGCGAGTTTCATGAACACAAATTTATTTGCATAACTAGAATGCATTGTCTAGAATACTTAAAATTAACTGAGGATCAGTAATTTAAATGTATAGTCTACTTTTCAGAACGTTGTTTCCAAACTACTGTTTCCTGTATATGTTACATGCATCGCAATTTCTTGTATGATGTACTAGAACCATTGATTTATGAAGTTAATGCTGAAGATATCCACAAATCTGGTGATGAGGCGTCCACAACAAACTACCAAAGCTCACAGAACTCCATCATCTTTATCCTGAGATACAAATCTTTTCTACCATTTCAAATTGTTTTGTAGTCTAGGTAAGATTATATTTAAAAAATCTAGACGTGGTTAAGAAAATAGCGTAGTTTTGCAACCGAATGAATGACTATCAACTTTAACTATTTCAAAAATCCATCTAATTGTTCATTTTTGAAATAGTGATAAAAATTGAAAATTGATTGTGGTTCTAGAAAGAAAATTACAGTCTGAAATGCAAAGTTAGCGAAATCATCACCACCGGAAATGATTCCAACACTAGTCAACTCAAATTACCTAAACATTAAAGAAAGATGAAAGCTAATTAAATGAAAACTATATTTTCAAAGAACCAAGCAGATAATAATGCCGTTTCCAAGCATATTGTGATATTTGACAAGCGAAAAATTGAATATGCCTCAGTAGTCACTGTCTACATGGTGGAACATGGGTTTCAGTTGTTTAGCAATAAGAGACTATAATTAATTCATAGAGGTGAAACAGGAATACAAAGAAGTGTAAACAGAAAAATCAAAAGTTTACTGAGTCTCGCTGAATAAAGAGATAAATTGTTGATATTAGCTTATTTCTTTCAAACACAAATACTCATCACAGTTCTCTTCAGACTCATGAAATTTAAGTTTGACAGATAGAAAGTCTTTGAAACAACCAGTCCCTTTTATGAATTTAGATAACGTAATTAGAAGACGTAATTTATGTGAGAAATGTGAAGCATTCACGCTATGCATTTCGAACAATTTGATCACACATTTACTTGTTAAGGGATTCTATGTGAAAACTGGAAGTGAGGGAAGAACAAATATGACGTAAAGGGACTCAATAATAAGAAGGAGAATGATAGGATTTGAAGACAGCCTTGGTGATAAGATAAGCGTTACTAGGGTGGGTTTAGTGTAAGGACAAACAGTTTTTGAATTCACAAAGGTGGCTTAAATTTGTGTATGGCCAACACTTCAACAGGCCTAAGTATACGCTCCTGACAGTTTCTATACAAAATTGTTTTGGCATTAATATAAGTGTAAAATTTTGGCACTATGGTAGGATGTAATTTTATATTAGATTTCCTTATTTGATTTACAACACGTAATGATACACTATTATTTACTTGATGACGTTTCGAGCACAAATTATTCCTCATAATCATATCAATGTGATCACACCACTTTCGACATCTGATTATTATGGTCCTGTGACCTTAGATTGGTAGTAAGAATTTTCAAATTTCTGATATAGGTGTTACGTCATTCCTGTTATGTGTGTTAGGTGTAGGTTTGACGAACAACGATTCTGTAACCACTCTCTCTCTCTCTCTCTCTCTCTCCACTTAAGTATATTGGACTTAAGTACAGTGGCTTTATCCCACCCTACTGTGTAGTGCATGCACATCAGGAGCCGAGTTTTTTTTAGATTATTGACCTTATTCGGGTCTGTCATTATTTATTTAGCTAAATTCCTATGTTCCGCCAATTTAACTGACGCCGACCGCCTAGTGTGACCTATGTACTTGACCTCGCAATCATTACACTGGATTTGGTAGACTAGATTATTTTGCTTAGTTCGATCTATCGGATCCTTAAGCCAACAAAGCTTATCTCTGAGTGAGTTTATACGTTAAAATGCCATCCTAATGCCAGCCATGTTGAGAATCCTACGTAAAGTTTCTGATGTTCCTACCTAACATGGTAACACAGTGGAGGCTTTGAATATATTTCTGCTTGTGTTGTCACTATTATTCATCTTCATATTGCTGTTATCATTTTGTGTCTTAGGTGTTCGTACGAATCTCTGAATAAACTTTTGAGGATAATTAATTGTTAATTGTTAACGCTTCTTCTATGCGTTTTGATTCCTTATTTAAGTTATTTCCAATGACTCGTGAATTTTTTAACTGTGTCATTTAGATACATTGAGTGTAATGATCTGAAGGCTAGATACCCGGCAGACTATGTCAGTTTCCTGTAGACGATAGTATCTAAGCCACCGTCTGTCCTTCGTTTTATTCTTCAACCTAACATAGATAATTCTTCTTGTTCATTTTCTACCTTGTAAGTGAATTGGATTGTGCCTGCTACCAAGTTTATATGTGTGAGGAAATCGTGGGTATGTTCCGATTTCAACACAGTGAATGTGTCATCCACATATAGCCATCATATCTTAAGTGCGGCATTAAACGTTTTTAAAGCCATGTTTTCCGAACTATTCATAAATGTATCTGCTCGTCAATTATTTTGTCCTGAAACTTGAAGACTATGGAGGTCAGGCACATTAATCCTGTGATCTTTATCAATAATATGTTTCACAGTGGATGATGATGGTTGTCTGCCACATGCACTTATCGATTTTCGTGGATTTAGCTGGTTTTGTAGTCATTCCTGTATATGTTACCCCAGGGACAAAAGTGTGTATTGATTAGTCCTCCCTATGTATGTGTCCACACACTGAGCAGTAAGATGTGAAGCAATCGTTTGTACAGTGTTGAGGCCTCTGTCGCAACATGTGTATGGTCTTCTCAATTACGACAAGCCTAGCTGCATAGTATGTTTTGTTAACGGCAGACTTTAGTCTTCGTTTTCGAATTACGCTGTAAGATTCTCTTCTGTGTGGTAGCGCAATATAAAAGAGTTTCTCTGAAACTCAATACACACCGAGCTTCATTACGGGCCGACTTTTGCAATGATTTATCAACTTCAAAGAATATCCATTTCCCACTAACTTTTCAGTTAGTATTTTGATGTCATCATCCGTTGGGTCTTCCGTACAGATATGCTGTATCCTTTAAAATACGAATCATACTAAACCTAGCTTTTATTGAGTTAGACAAAAGCTATGGAAACTTAAATACTAACCTGTGCAAGTAGGTTCCTTGTAAATCGACCGTTTTGTTGAAAACATTTTCCTACGACCCACAAGCATATCGAAGAACGGCAGGTGATTTTCTTTCTCTTTAGATGTTAAGTCTTACTGGCAAAAGTGTCACATCTTCATGCTTGTCACACATTACAACTAGACCATCAACATATCTCTTATAAAAGTTAACTTAATCGATGAGGTCACCAGATAAGCCTTCAATATATGACGTGTAAATGTCATGGTCATCGCGGACTTCACATTATCACGCCATCTATTTATTCAAAACGTTCCCCTTCACATGTGAAATGAACTTTATCAGCACACATTAACTACAGCTATTTCAAACATGTCGAAGCGTTAGGGAAATAAGAATTACTTCAAGATATTCGGTCACAGTGAATGTCAATGGTGTTGCACTAAGAGGCACGTTAGTATAAAAGGAAACAACCTCGTATCTTTGATATTATTATCACTAAGAAAACCAACGACTTTAAAAGTATCTTTCAAAGAAAACTGACATCATTCATTTCGAATAGACAGTAAAAATTTCCCTAACCATTTTGCCAGTATATATGGAGGTGAACGGCACATGCATGGTATGAGACATGAAGGATGGGTAGTTTTATGAATTTTTAGCAATCCATACAGATTAAGTAACCCCGACTGGTTAACTAGTTCACTAGTTACCACCCTCGTCCTAAACCCAGATAAACAGGGAAGGTTGGCCATACGGCTAACAACCCTAACCCGGAAAACCAACCCAATCGCTAAAGAAACTACAGACCACAAACAAAATATACAACATAAAAACAAACTCAGTCGTCGCCGGAATCGGAGAGACGAAATGATGTCGGTTGATGAAAGCCCTCGAGAAGACAATTGGCCAATATGTCTTCGCTTCTCTCGATGAAAACAAAGGTAAGTATAAGGACTTGGAATGTCCACACGATATTTGAAGCTGGCTGGCTGGCTGGCTGGCTGGCTGGCTGGTTGGCAAGGCTGCCCAGATTGCAAGACAGATGAGAAGGAGAAGGTATAACATAGAAGTGCTAGACTAGGAATATGCGAGGAATCACCAGATCGAATGGAAGTGGACTCTCCAAACTGTCAACTGAAGAGTCAATAATCTACCCCATATTGTCACACAGATTACAACCACGAGCACACTGAGTTATGGAGTGCCTATCACGATGTCCCCTTGAAGAGCATCGAAGGCTGTCTCTCATGCAATGGGAACCAGTCTCCTCCTGCAGGATCATGACAGCATGATTCAACTCAACAGAAACGAAAGTCACAATCATACAATGCTACACCACACTAGCCTACACACCTACAAATAACCGAGATGAAGAGTAGGAGAAGGAATTCCACAGACAACTACAATCAGTACTGGACAAGAAAGACTCCACCCCACGTGGCGACATCAAAAGTCATTCTGATGAGTGGGGTGACATGAATGACAAACTGGGAGGAGACAACACAGGAAACGAATTGTGCATGGGTCGAGAAACACTCGGTGAAGTGATGAATGAGAATGGAGAACTGTTCGCAGACTTCTGTGCATTCAACGATTTGGTGATTGGAGGTGAGGCAGTGTCTACAAACACAAGGATATTCACAAGGCAGTGACATGGATTTGATTTCACCAGACACCAGGACACACTACACTTAAAATCAGATCGACTTCATCTCAATGTGAAGAAAGTGGAGACGCAGCCAGCCTACTTGACACAACATCGTGTCAAGAAGAGGAGGAGATGTAGGCTCACACCACTCACTATCTAGTGCAAGCAACCTACCTTCCAAATCAAGTTGAAAGCCTTCAAAGATGTTGGTGATAGACAGATCACAGTTCAGGTTCAACAACCACCCAGAACAGAAACTGAACTGAAGGATGAAACTACAAAGGACATCTTCACGTTAGTCAGTCAGCGATCAGGGGAGAATGGGAGACATTGAGCTACATCCCTGAATAAAGGTGTGTGGAAGAGCACTGGAACTGTTTGAAAGGCATGTGGAAGGAAAGCTGAATAGGTGTGTTAGGAAGGAAAAAGAAGTGGCAAGAGAAGGAATGGACCTCGATGAACACATGGAAGGTGATAGAGGAGGGAGAGGAAGATGGTGAAGCAGAAGACGAACCAGTGCAGTGCAGTACAGTGCAGGGATGAACAACGAAAAGACGAACTGAGTACAACGTATAAAACAGAACAGTAGACAAAGAAGTGAAGAAGAGTGCATGCAAAGACAAAAGACACTTCTGTGACACATTGGCAAGTGAAGCAGAACAAGCTGGAGGTAGGAGAGACAGAAAGCTGACAAGATTATATCAAATAACCAGGTTACTTACTGCCTCGGAAGAGATCAGCGCAGACGAAACCAATGAAAGATAGTGAAGGAAACCTAGTTACCACCAAAGAAGAGAAACAAAGGAAACAATGGGCTGACAACTTCAAAAAACTCTTCAATCGACCACCCCACACCACCAACTGCAACTCGTCCAGAAATACCACCTCCACCCCCACTACAGAATTACCAATCAACACAAACCCTCCGACAAAAGCATAAGTGAAGTCTTGAACGCCATAAAGTTGCTGAAATCCGAGAAAGCAGCACGACTAGATGTGATTCCTCAAGAAGCATTGAAAACAGACGTGGAGAAAACAGCGGACATGCTCATATCTCTACAGCAGAAGGTTTGCAGGGAAGGGAGGAAGAGTACCTGCAGATTGATTGGAAGAAAGGCTATCTTATCAGCGAACTACCAAGGAAGGTCAACCTGTGTCTTTGCAAGAACTGGTGTGGAATCATGCTGCTGTCCACCTCAAGAAAAATATTATGCCTCATCATCCCGGAGAGACTGACAAATGCTCTGCATTCACATGGTCCTCGAGTGGAATCCGCTGCGGAAATGACGAGTTGGGCGTCCTAGATGACGTTGACATGTAGGGGATCGTGTGAGGATGAAATGAATACTTGTGGGATTCGTGGAGCCAGGTTGAAAAGACTGCAGAGAGAGAAGAGAGTGAACTGGCGACGTGCTGCTGAAGCCCTATTTTCCACTAGGAACCCAAGGGACAAATAATAATAATATTACGGATTACCTAACTCTAACCCCATATGTTTGAGGGAAGTTAATTCTTCCTTAGTGATAACATTCTTATTCAAGATTAGATGTTATCTTTCTTATTAATAAATTGATTTTCGTCACATTTGCCTTTCCCCTACCTCGAGTTTCAATAAAAATTCCTTAACAAATAAATATGTAATGAGATCATTCGAAATTCATCGTGCAAATACATCACGTTTTTGAGATAAATTATGTCTTATGATTACATCATTCAAACGTAGATCTATTTGACTCCGATTTTTTATTTCTCTTCTTTGTACAGCCAACTTTTGAGTGAACAGACAAGTTATTTCTTAAGCAAGAAAGTCGGCAGAGATTTTTCATCGGTACAAATTTAAGGTGTCCCAGTTACAAAAACTATAGTTTCTGTACAAGTTAGGATCAACAAACAAATCTACAACTAACACAGATGAGATTGCTCTCTCTTTAATAGATTCGTAACCGAAATTGGCCACTAGTTTTTCTTGAGTGGCTTCACACTTTATCCTTCGAAATGTCGAATGGTTAACCTCAGCTTAAGACATATAAAGACTAATATAAACTGCTTCAAGTCCTTGACACTGGTATGGTTGATTGTTCTGTAATAGAGGATGTATCAAGTCCGATATATCTTGGTCTAAGCTTTAGTTGTGATCTTTCTTGATTGCTCCATATTCTACTGATTTTGATGAATTCTCTTCACCGAACCATTACATATATATTGAAACTAGGACTTTCTGGTATGACTCTACCTCCACTTTTATGTTCCGTTAAATCCCGTATTTTGCCTATTCTTATTTATTGTTCCCTATTATTCTTTGCCAAGCCTCCGAGAAAAGATTATGCTGTGTTCCGCAGGATTTTGAAGGCTGTCAGTAGAACGAATGATACACCGTTAACCATACTGATGAATATGGCTGTGAAAAGACATTTTAACTCTTGCAAACAGCTGACCGCAAATATTTTATTATATGATAAGCATCCTCTTAATTTGAACCTTTCCTCAGCGAAGACGAGGAGCAAGTACATTAAATTCTATGTACACATAACTATATATAAAATTCAAGCATACCTTATTTATTCTAAATATATTGTGTAAAGAAAAGCAATTTAGAAATAATCTTACCAATCAACTTTGCAATAGCGAACGGTTGCCATAACTCCGCTCTTATTCAGTATTTAGACAATCCTATTATTATTTATAATTGATTATAAACCATGATTACTGTTGATATAATGGAAAAATCTTATACACCGAGTAAATTTGGTAATATTAAATGCTGAGAATTGTGTACTGTAAATAAAACTATGGTTCAGAATAAAGCAAATATATTTCTATACTAAAATTACTAGTCCAATTAGTCTAACATTATTGAATGTTCACTGACATATTTACAATTTTTTCCGAAAAATCCGCTTACCATTTAAACAGTTTTGTTCGTCAAACCGATTACCACAATCATTTTCTCCATCACACCTCCAGTGTAATTCATAAGTGGCTTCTTTGGGTGGTATACCATTCACGACTTCACATGGTTTGGTTATTGGGTCACAGTAAGCTGTTTTGAACAAACAATTTAAGATTTTCGTTCTTATTGTATTCACAATAATTAAAACAATTAAACACATGCTTGATTCAAATTAATGAAGTTTAATAATGTGTATTAGATTATTTATTTATCTCATAATAAAAATCTTTTAATTCTATGGTTTTTCAAACGTAATTGGTTTCATTTTAATCCCTATGACTAGTTAAAATCATTTGAAAAATCGCTGAAGATTGACCTGCAGCTGACAATCGTTTCAGGAATTAGATTTCAATCCATCGGCGCAAAGGTTACAGATTCACGACCAAGTTTAAGGACTTCTAGTTATTCTCATCAAACGTTTACAAGGTGAATTACTGAGAAGTCCCGTTATTGGATGAAAAACTTGTGAACCACAATTTAGTCTACACTTACCATTCAGTCAGCTAGAGGTGGAAATAATCTATGAAAGATATGCCGTGAATATTTGGAAATTTTTGAAAAAAATCTATTTACTAATTCACATGACTGTAGTTCAGAACGCATAAAGTTTCAAAATCATACAAATATAACTTACCACAATTTTCAGGCCGTTCGTCGAATCCATCATCACAATCAGGTTTACCATCACAAAACTGACCAACAAATATGCATTCACCACTTGGACATCTCCTTTGTCCTGGTTGACATCCACGTTCCACAAGAATGGTTGCAGTCTTTCTGTCTCCACTAGGAGATATACATCTAAGATGAAAAACACGAAATGGACAAATTAAAATTCCTGTATACTTGTTGTAAATGGTTCAGTCGGTAAGTCAACAGCTTAGAAGTAAACATAGATTATTGAAAAGGCTTCAGTTGAAGATACAAGATATCAACCTTGTTACTTCACATTTAATTTCGGGGTGAGATGGAAACACAAAATTAAAACAAAAACAACTCAAGATCTTTAGATGGTAATGACAGTAAATGCGCTTAACCTTATCAACTGTTAGATGAAATGACCAAAAATATCTGGAATGAACACTGTGGAACCTTTCAAAAGAAAATGGGTGTGAGTTTATTTATAAACAGTGTTATATGCGTGTAAAATTTCACTCAGTTGAATAGTCATAGTGGATTTTCTAGACTAATCATAACTACATAGATTGGTCACTGGAGGGGTGACCGATTTCATGTTGTCTAGTTCTGAGTGGTGACTCGATTCTATCTGTCATTTTGCATTGAAGTCAACATTTACTCTTCAGTCACCAATCGGTGTATCTAATCCAGTTCAACAGGAGGTCAATCACGACCTTAATAGCTTGATGGCAATGTCTCTCATTGAAGCACTGTGTGAGACATGTTCGAATCTAGAAGGGGCATCAAGTAACTCTCGATTACAGATGCACTTTGTTGATGAGTACCAACAGCCACAAAACCTAGTTCCAGGGTCTCCTGTTGACTGCTTTCATCCAAATGACATTAATTATACCTGAATAATGAAACTAGAGCACACTATCTATTCTAGAGTAGTAAGCTGTGTCCCAGTATGTAACCAGGAAATGACCAATGAAACAAAAGAAAGCTCCACATATTTAGCCAATAATGCGCTCTCAATATCCCTACCAGTTGGTGAAAACAAGTGAATGATTGGTGTTAGGTTCATTTCCATACCTTTAGTAGGAGTGATTAAGTCAGCCAGTGACAATGTGAACTTGTATCCCAAAATATGGTTAGGATTTGAATCATGTAAACTTAATCAGTGCCTCTCTGCAAACACAATAGTGACTGGAGTAGGACTAGGTTTAAGAGAACGAATTTCGGGTTGAATGCTGTAGATGCAATGAATAATAATCTTGCCCTAAAAGGGAGCATTTGTTATTGCGTTCTCCAGTATTATTGTACATTTTTTCTTTCTACTCCCTTCTTCTATTTGATACTTGGTGCTGCTTAACAGAAGAAACACATGTTGTCGGTCTCCATGCTGAGTTGTGCAGTGAATGAATAAATAAGTATTTAGTCTGCAAGTCATTAGGCATAGGAATCACAATCAATTACATTTTCTATAAAAAGTAAACAGACTTCATTTAAGTTTGATGAACAAATTAATTGATCCATATGCTAAGACTAAATATCTTCGGAATCAACAAGACCTGATGTGTGCGAATTTAACAACTCAGGAAACTGACTATTTTTATGGTTTTCTTTCACACACTGAAAACATGATAAAATATGCATGAGGAGACTAATTGTGCACTGCCTTTACCACAGCACTTAAAGTTGTAAAACATCGCGTTTATGCAATACTAACATTTTTAAACTTCCATACACAACGCAAAAGATTTATTTTTGATTTTAACTTATTTCCAGCGTATAAACTATTCACCACCTGAAGTCAACCTTATTTCCGAGATAATTTTTGCATGAGAAAGATTAACAGCAAATAATTAGCTATAAGCTACAAACAAATGAATACTTATCGTACTGATTACATACCAACTAGATGAACACTTAGAGAAGTTTTGAACTGAGAAATATCTGTTTCTTCGTACGCTTTTTATACATAAATGCATATGAAGAATCAATATTCCACACAGATTTGAGATATTTAGCAACCATGTTTTCCCATAATTTTGTACATAGGCGTGTGACTTTTGCAAAAAAATAAAGTAATAATACCTTTGATATTTTTCCACATTTGACTGTAATTGTCAGCTAAATTAACAGGAAGATGAACGATAATTTTAATCACATGTAATAATTAAGATATATTATGAATATATTAGAAAATTTATGTTATTTGCTTAACTGTGCTTACTCAAGTATTACTTGTCTTTCTGTAGCATCTAGGCCTCCAGGTACTTCTATGATAGCACGTTCAGTTGAAGGCCTAGATATTACAAATCTTGGGTCGCTTGTTACTGGTCTTCCATCGACAAACTGTATAACTGGAGATGTACCCGGTTTGTCAGTAACACACTCCAAGCGGAATGATCGACCGGGTTGGATTCGGATTTCGCCTGGGGTGAAATGTACTCTCACATCAACAGTTATCTCAGCTATTAAAAATAAAAAAAACAGTAGATAATTCTTCTATTTAACTACAGAGTGAGTACATAATTCTTTCGTTAAGGAGACTGACAAATGCACCTATCAACTGGTAGGTGACAACGAATGTAACTCCATAGTTCCATTAGACCGTTTTTAATCTACTGGTCAGGTAAAAAGTGTGACAGCAATTTTGAATGATATCGTGCTGTTGTATACCTGATTTGCTGTTAGACGAATACTAAGTGTACGGTATATTATTCATTATTGTTTGTCCTTTGGGCTCCTAGTTGCACATAGGGCTTCAGTAGCACGTCGCAATTTCACTCTCTTCTCTCTCTCTCTCTGCAGTCTTTTCAACCTGGCTCCACGACTCCCAACAAGACTTCATTTCTTCCTCACATGACCGCCTACATGTCACTCTCACATGAGACGACCAACTCGTCGTTTCTGCAGCGGATTCCACTCGAGGGCCCGGCCTGACACGTGATGTCCCCAATCGGTCTTCTCAGTGTATGCCCAATCGAATCCATCTCCACTTTCTTCTGCATATTTGTTGGGCAATCGGTTGTTGGTTGGTTCGTTTCCAGCCAGCCAACCAGAGTTCCTTGTTGCTTATTATTATTATTATTATTATTCTGGCCATATGATCTCCATCTTCAGTATCGAGTGAGTGAGGGTGGCAGCTGTTGATGTGATGGATGTCTGCAGTTTGTTGAAAATGCTTTTCGTGACGCGCGTCAAGTCTGTCAACCATCACACAGAAGCACTGACTTACTTGACTGACATTGGTGTTGAAAATCCAGATGTTGTTCTTTGTGCTGAGTGCAGTAGATCTCCACACATATTTCAAGTAGATGAAAGCCTGTATTGCTGTCTTTCTGATCCTGCCTTTGAAATCCTTGTCTGTGCCGCTGCCTGTAGTTGAAAGGATGCTGTCTAGGTAGCTACCTGGGTGAAAGAGACTACTTTCTTTAGATCTCCCTCGTTGATGGTGATTGGTGCTTGTTGTTGTTGTGGTGGTGGTGGTGTTTGTTGTTGTGGTTGGTTGGGTATCTTCATCACCTCCGTCTTCTCTACGTCCACCTGAACGAATTCCCGTCTTCGCTGCCCTGCCTCTCCTGTCAACTTGTTAGTTTTCGCCTGTAGACCTGTGAGTTTGTGCGACAAGATATTAGACATAAACCATCATCATCGGCGAAATCCGAATGCTCTTCTGGGATCTTTTCACCAGTCCAGCCAGTGCATGCCCATCTTCTCACAGCTCCTCACGGTTCGCTGCATTATCCAGTCCCGTTCAGTTCAGTCCAGTCCAGTCGACCACAATCAGGAAGATGATGAGTGATGATAGTAGTCGGCAACCTTGTCTTACTCCTGTCTCCTGTCTTCACTTCGAAGGCGTCACTGAGCTTTCCATTGTGAATCACTCGACATATAGCATCATATAGCATAGTAGATAGGTGTTGAGTGAGGTTGATAAAGGTTTGTGGCACTGAGACCGTAGTGTTAGAGCAGCAGTTGCTAAATTACTCCTCCGTTGATGCTGTTGAAGGCCTTTTCGAGGCTGATGAAGTTGAGGTAGAGTTGAGTTGACTGCCATTCTGTGCTGTGTTCTATGATGATGCGTAATGTGGCGTTACAATTTGATCCGCACATGATTTGTTCTTCCTGAAGCCAACCAACCAAGCAGCCAGCCAGCCAGCCAGCCTGCCTGCCTGCCTGCCTGCTCCGGTCGTAATTTTGAATGCGGAGCATTTGTCAGTCTCTTCGGGATGATGAGGCATAATATTTTTCTTGAGGTGGACAGCAGCATGATTCCGCACCAGTTCTTGCAAAGACACAGGTTGACCTTCCTTGGGAGTTCGCTGATAAGGTAGCCTTTCTTCCAATCAATTGGCAGGTACCTTTCCTCCCTTCCCTGCAAACCTTCTGCTGTAGAGATATGAGCATGTCCGCTGTTGTCGCCGCGTCTGCTTTCAATGCTTCTGGAGGAATCACATCTGGTCGTGCTGCTTTCCCGGATTTCAGCAACTTTATGGCGTTCAAGACTTCACTTATGCTTTTGTCGGAGGGTTTGTGTTGATTGGTAATTCTGTAGTGGGGGTGGAGGTGGTATTTCTGGACGAGTTGCAGTTGGTGGTGTGGTGGTGGTTGATTGAAGAGTTTTTTGAAGTGGTCAGCCCATTGTTTTCTTTGTTTCTCTTCTTTGGTGGTAACTAGGTTTCCTTCACTATCTGTCATTAAATATACGGTTCACGCCTGATAAACTCGTAGCGTCTAAATATACTATGTTAGCTGTGTCTTTTAATAATAGATATGTTTTGTCAACCACTAAGACTTATCGTTGTCTGAATAAAGTTTTAGTAATATGGAAATTATTTTCTGAAATCGTGTGTTTGTAACCACTGAATGCGTACACTGTCTTAATATTGAGAAGCTTTTAGGGAGATGTCACCTTGTTCTCAATAGTAAGTTCAGGAAAACTCACCAGTAAGAAGAAATATACAATGGGCTACTGACGAATTATTTTCGGTGTGTTACACAAGTGGAGTGAAATGCATGGTAATTTATTAAATCAAGTTAACCTGCTGGTTAAAATAATATGAGAAATATTTTCCATTGTCAGTAGAGATTTTTGAGTTGTATTCACTCACTATCAGTATGGACTAAGTGGTTCATGGTCTTGGAGGAAGCCAACTCATATCCAACTTATCACCTTCACTACTACGATCGTATGAAGAAGACCATATATATATATATATATATATATATATATATATATATATATATATATATATATATATATATATATATATATATATATATATCAACTCTGTGACCAAAATATAAATATGATTTCCGGCTGCATTTAATGCAATTTTACATCACTCACTAAGGATTGTGGCAGCCTACAGTGACAGATAAATAGCTATCTTCTTACCTCAATTTTTAATAACTAAAAACAACTCAGTATAGTGTTATCAAATGGTGACTTTTGATTTTATTAATTAGGTGCAAATAAAGTATAAATGACCAGGAAACACATTTTTTACAGAATTATTTCAACTTCACCTATAGGTGTAGCATTAATGTGTGATATAAGAAGCACAAATATTCACCGAATTGAGATGTGTCCTTTTGGAAAGTGTTATTTTGAAAACACTAGCTTATAAATGTTGTCAGTAACAAATATTTGTTGAAATAAATTGATATGTTATTAAAGTACAAATAACCTCAACTTACGGCAACGTAACCTATCTTCATCTGAGCCATCTGGGCATTGAGGTATTCTATCACAAAACTGCTGTTGTGGGATACATGTTCCATCTGCACATCTAGAATAGCCAGCTGGACATACTGATTCAACTTGTACTACAATTCTTCCAGGCACTCTACTTACTACAGTACAGCTATAGGATTAAGATGAGTGAAGCCATGTTAATAATCTTGAAAGTCCTTAACAATAAAATACATTTTAAACTGTGACCTATAAGACTGAACATATTTTTAATCTACTTTAGAGAGCATAATTGTCTTAAAACTACTCAGCAAATAAAAGGAAGAAGTTTAGAAAGACAATCCAGTCAAAATCTTAACGGTCACTACACAAAAGAATTTCTTATACATTTCACTTGCTTGAGATTATAATTAGTTGCTTTTTAGGCGTCATTAACCATATATGCCATACTCCACTTAAAAAGAGCTTTTTTGTGTGAAATGTCTACACAAAACAGACTCATAGCCTGCAGCTACTTCAGTAAAATTCCAGCTAAATCATATTAGTTGATAATAACATTGAAAACAGCTCTTATATGACTTCGAAAACTGCTCATCTTTCACTCTCATAGGAGCCTTGAAATGATGTGTTTTAAGGTGATTAAAAGAGATGGGCAGCTTTAAAAAACAATTAACTGGTTCAAAAGGTTGAGTGGAAATTTGCAAATACTGTTAAAAAAAGCGAAATAAGAGATAATTTAAAAAAGCTTATGCAAGGGACATAGTCTAAAGTCAGTACTATAGTGTGATATTCGATACTTCTCAATGTATAGCGAATCTACATAGGAAGAGGATGGTTTCTGTCAGAGGGACGTGATATCCAACGAAATCAAGTTGACATTCTTTATTGAGTCAATAAAAAAGGTGTCACGGAGACCATCGTTCAATAGCCTCTTCTTTACAGGTTCCAGTACTTCTACAAGCCATTTCGCGATAAGGAGAATTTATCATATCTAGTATTGAACTGAGTGGAATGCCTTCTTTGTGTGTCTATACGGTCTCCCCAAAATACACAAAGAAGTCATTTCACTCCGTCCAATACTAGATATGATAAATTCTCCATATCGCGAAATGGCTTGTAGAAGTACTGGAACCTATAAAGAAGAGGCAATTGAACCATAGTCTCCGTGACACATTTTTTTTGTTAACTCAATGAAGAATGCCAATTTGACAGGCAAAAGAATGATTCCATTGGATATCGTGTCACTCTTCCCAAATGTCCCTATGACAGAAACCATCTGCTTCCTATGTGAATTCATTAAATGTCATAACATAGATGTCGGTATCCCAATTCACTACCTAATATAGCGAATCTGTTTAACATGGTCTTGGGAAGTATTTAGTTATGACTCCGATGCACTTGATTCGGTTCTGTAGATTGTACCACGTTTAAACAAGGCATATCAAATTCATATAAATGTTAACATATTTATTTCAGACCCATATATTGTGTCATTTTGGTGATTGCAAGTGAACATTTCGAATGTAACCGTGCGCTTATCATGAGTGTTTCACATACTAAACTAAACTATCATAAAATTTGATTTTTATCAAAAGGCGTACAGAAACGTGTTATTTGAAATTAAACGGAATACAAACCATGCCTTGTAAGGTGATAAAACACAAAGATTTCAGAAAAACTTCTAACGGAGGTTCTTTGTGAGGTACCGTACTATGTATTCAAGTATCCTACAATTACTTCACTTATTGCATTCAGTTGAGTGAAGGCAGGTATGAACTTGTATATATTTCTTTGACGATCAAGTGTTCATGCTAAAAAGATATATTTTAAAACAGTATATTTTCTACAACGTACCTCAAACTACCATGTCACATTTTGCAAGTTAAAAATAGTTTTAGAAAAGAAAGACAGATGAACAATGTAAATTATAAAGGTTTTCACCAAGTAAACGAGAGATTTGAGCCGAAATATTCTGAAGAATAAAGACAGCCTAAAAGTACACTGGATTTAGACAACAGCTGGCCACTGCATTCAAACTAGTCGGTCTTTGCGACGATTTTATCTTTTTACGATGTACAACTATATATATTAAGGATATTTCATGACATTAAATAAGTTGGAAAATGTAGGACACGGAAGGTCATTGAGGCATCATATACGAATTAATGATTGAATACTGCGTTCATTCATTTTAAAGTAGTGAAAGTGGTCTTTATGAATAAAAGATACATCACTGCTAGAAATAAGTTATCTGAGCTAATATTTTGTAGGCCATAAACAACTAAGTTGTTAGCGCCTTAATTGAATAGGAAACTTAGGCGACTTTTCACTAAATTCAAGGCTGGAGATCTTAGTCCCCGAGTCTGGCAGTTTAATTCTCAGCCACGCTGTGAAACGCACTCTATTTGTTCATTGTATATGTGATACATTGTTTCATATGGATCTGTGAATGTTCTCTGGAATGTAAAGCTTATACTATCCCACTTTACCAAATTTTGATAAAAGCTGGACTTGATACGGTACACTGAAGATAAGGCTTATATAAATTTTACTTAGTGACCATAACACCAGTACAGTAACTACTATTTCATTAAAACTTTACGTAAAAGGGTTCTAATACGTAAATAGCAGTATAAATGGGGTTTAAAATATTACTCCAAAAAATCATAAATCGGTTATCATACCTGAAAGAATACGTTCCAGGGTCGGGTATGCCACTGTCAGCTCGAACAATAACGTGCTCACGACTTGGACGTACAATTGTGAATCTATGATCACCTTCAACTGGGTAGCCTTCAAAAGTAACTTGAGGTTCACTTCCTGGTACGTTTGATCTACACTCGAATTGAAATGATTCATATGGTCTCGTTAAAATTGTCGTCGGTGTAATGACAACGGATGGAACTAATTTAAACACAACAAAGAGACAGAAAAAAACAGCATTCAGCTAATAGTATTCAAGATTTGGTCATACTGTTATTACTTCAATCCCAACAATAGCTATATTCCATAAATTATTTCTCGTAGATTCCTTTCAAACTAACGCCTCTAGCTTTGCTCAAACCTAATTTGTGAGAATTTTCCTTTTGTATACAACACTATATAATTGGCTACTGTAGACAAAGCATTCAACAGACAGTTTGTTTTATGTATTTTAATAACTTTATAATATAAAATACTAAACTTGTATAGCCTGTATGCAACAAACTACAAATAGTATGATGGTAATTACTACTAAAAAGAATCAGTGGTGCAAGCAAAGAGCGATAAATTAAGTGGTACGAATTTCAATCACATCCTAGATTCCACTACTAGTCACCAGGAAGAGATTTACAAGAATTAGTTAATATTTCCTTCATTAAGTTCTGCTACTGATTTTGCTATCGATTTGAAGGGGAATCTCCTTATGAACCGAAAGTCGATGTGTTGAAAAAGAAACTTAAAACGAAGACAATAAAATAAACTGCAAGGTTACACGGCTGAGATCAGTTCTATTAATCCCTGTCACTAAACTTGACTACTGATTCTATGTAAACACTTTTTGATAAACATAAACCTAAACAAAGAAATCTTGAAAAACCACAAAAATCCCGTCATAAAAAGATCCTATATATAGCATGGTTGTTGCAATCACCACATTTTTAAAAATACCGACCTTAGTATGAATGGAGAATAAAGAAAAGAAAAGGTAATCAGACAGTACCATCTGAATCTGCGCTTGATAAGCCGACAACAATAATGAGTTTGAAGGTGTGAGGGTTATGCGTGCGCATTGCTGAGGAGGCTTAACCCGGGACTAAGCAACTCTCTAGTGCTCTCCGGTTTTAAACGGTTCTCTGGCTGATGCTGATCAGTGATAAAAAGTTTTATAAAGTGATAAGGATTTTGCTACTGAGTAATGATTGAAGGTGCAATGAAAAATCCGGGTTGCGGCAAGAATCGAACCAAACCACGATTATCTCAGGTAGTCCAGCTGATATATTTGCGCTTTGATTGTAAGTGGAAAAAGGTCAGATCACATAACTTACATACGCATACAGAAAAGACACAAATGTGGTCATCATTAATCTTCCGTCAGTGAGATCAAAGTGATGATATGGTTTGATATGATATGGTTTTATGAATATGTACTTTAGTTTTAGCTTAGTGTATACAACATGTCATTTCGGCTATACCGACAAGTCGGTCAACAACTGAGTATATGTGATTGAAATACATGGAAAGCTGAGACACTGATAACATTGAATTTTTCACAGGAAGGAAAGATAAACTACTAACTGACAGCATATATGAAATGACACTAACCTAAAACTAAAGTACATACGCACAAAAACTATTTGATTTCTGATCCCTGTAGCGATTCTCTCACTCATCCACGTCCAATCACAATGCATACACACTCACATCATTATCCCCTTGGTCTTATTCAGTAAAAATTGATGACTATGACACGTAGTCCCTTCTTATTGTTTTTTCCACTTACAATATGAACCACGACCTAACCTGTAGCAGGAACAGATAAAAAAGCGTCATTTGCAAAAGAAAACGGAGTGATACTGAATAGATAGATATTGTGTTTTGGTACTGACTATCATATTGTGATTAGATCAACCGTATTCCACTTTACTGCTATTGACTTTCTCGACAGGCTTCTGTGTTTTTCTGTTTTACGATAGCAGTTTCAAATTGGTCTTGTTTGTCAGGCTTTAGAAAGTTGTTACAAAGCTGCATGTTTGATTGCCTGAAAAAGCAAGAGTCATGACTTCAGAAACTTACTTTCCAACTTTATTCAAATTTCTTTCATATATCAAGAGTGAGTTAAGAAGGGACTTAAGCAAGATATTATCCGACAAAATATCAGTTCCTATCACGATATCTCTGGTAGGTAGTTTATGGCATGAAAAGGTTTTGAAAATCAGTTATAGATAAGACAGAAGTTCAAAAATATGAGCAATAGATGATCTTTTCAGTTTGACTTAGTGGGAACAACATCGTTCACTGAGAGGCGGGTACATCCAACTGACAAGTTCCAAATAAGATGAAGTGCTCATCTTGGATTCCACTCCTAACCACCGTCCATCATTAATATACAACTGAAACAGGTAATATCTATTTCTTGACGTAGGAACCCATATGCCAGAAGAAACCTATCAATTTGGTTTGGTCAACGACCGGATAATAGTAGCAACAACACGATAATTTATTTTAACAAAATTTGAGTACAGAGAAAACCATTCTTGAAAATTTAATAACGAAATAAAAATGTAAAAGGCAGATTTTCCTAACTTGCTCACTATATGCTTCCCTAGGCCTTACGATTCAGCGATAGTGCTTAGGCCAACTGCAGTATTAGCACCTATTCAGGATTTTTTTAAGCTATCCTTTAATGTTAACTGCTGCGCTTTTTGAGAGCTCGTAAAACCAAATAAGAATTAAACTGAATAATTTAGATTCGAAAATCGTTGTACCTGAAGTATCCTCATGTATGATTAGTGATTGTCGACAAGTATTTAGTGTCAGTCAGATTTATTTCTGAAGATTTATGGTTTTCTATCTGTAGATATTTCATCTACAAGCAGTTTTTATGCCTTCAGAAGTTTTGTCCACCTCAGAGCTGAGGAAAAGGGGTGTTTCACTACTAAAGTTTTACATTCCAAATTCATTATCGTATCACAGAGTTCTACTTAATATTATTATTTCACCCAACATTTTAGCCTCTCGATAGACAGTGTAGCTTACCACAAGATCTTGGATCTTCATCTGAACCATCTGAACAGTCACGTTTTCCATCACAAAATACAGTTCTTGGTAAACATTCACCAGATCTACACCTAAACTGACCAGGTGGACAACCTGTCGTAACTTCTACCTCAACCTGTCTGACAATATTCGTAGATACAATGCATCTGAAAGAAACCAAATAATAAATTAAAGATTTCCGATAATAACAAGGTTGATTAGCGTTCACAATTTCAATTAGTTTTGCAAAAATAGTTGTCTTCAATAAGATACTGTACTTGAATGAATTGGTTTCGAATGCATATGGTCTTGAGTCACACTAATTATCTTATTATAGAATAGCTACTCACCAATTTGATAATGGTTGACAAAATGACAAAAATGAATGACTGCTTATATCTCCTACGTATCCATCTTTAATTGTCATTTATGCACAACTTGCCTATTACTTTGAATTTAAAGTGGAAATCGTATTCGTATGAATATTTAAAAGTTCTTGGCTTATTACCATAGTAGATAGATAAGCAGCCTTAAGGTTATACACTGTTGATCTAGGAATCCTGATGTTATCTCTAATGAATTATTGTTATCTAATAGATAGATCATTATCAGTCTCACTATCTGAGAAACCGTGGTTTGACAAACATCTATTGATACTGGCTGGTGATTTAAGTTGAAATGAAAATTTTGTCCACGACGGGATTCAAATCAGCCACCTCCGGGTTTCCGGCCTGGCGCTCTACCTAGTAAGCTACGAGACCCATCTGTCAACAAGAGTTCACAGTTAAGTTACCTCGGTTACATCTTCTGTAGACTGCTGAAAACTGGTTTCATTAAAAAAGACTACCTAAACAGGTCAACTACCTGGTTACTTATTGTATTTTGCTTTGGGGTGATGAGGGATTTGAATGCAGTCATTCATTCAAGCCAGTGAGTTAATATCTATGATCAAATACTTAATTGGTCAACTTGTTTAGTGTTCGTTCTTACTGAGAATCAACTCGCTAGTGTCACTCGTTAAGAAATGTCTTTAGAAACCAACGCCATCCTAATGTCTCTGACTAATGTTGATACTGTTTACAGTAGTACTGAACATAATTCCGATGGAATAACAATCTTCCTTCTTTTGTTATGGTTTTTTTTCATTACAAGTTACAAGGAGCACCTGCAGTTACTTTCATTATTCTTAAAATACTTTTCATTCAAAGTATACAGCAATGACGAAAAATCATGATGCATTCACTCGCCAAGGTGGGATTATTAATTCAGTGGTTGCTGATGCTCGCCATGTCTTCTCCAAGTTACCCACTCATTCATTGTTTTAAGTACTCATCAATGAATTGATAAAGATATACACTTGTAATTGTGGTGTATTTCGAATCCTTATAATATTGCATGTGAATAGTCATTCGTAGCTGTAACATTCCTCCGATCATTAAACGCACTGTTAACAGTAGGAAAAATAGAAAGCTTTTTTGATACTCCACGACTTAAAAGTATTAATTCGAAAAACTAAAGTAGCGACACCAATCGAAAATAGATAGGCCTTGGTGTTTAGAGGATGACTTTGACGAAGCTTTAACGCCTAATGATTCGATTTAATTCTTGAGAATGCATGTAAGTGGTTTTGAAAAGAAAGCTTAGTTATTAAAAAATGGGACTTTCAGCAACTCACTGATTTATGGAAAAATATAACAGAGTAAATTACTTCCGTTAGAAGTTTATTTTTTCCTGTCAATGGATATAAATTTAGCATGAGATTTATGCAAATGTAACTTATATCTAATGTCAACTTTTCACTCGTCACGCAATATTTGTGAGACTGTTCAGTCAATTTGTGATCAGGATTCACATCAATATTTATTTTTGTTAGTAACCTTTATATTCAGAAATTATACAGACAATTCTTACTTGAACTTGTGTTGCCCTACATCCATTAAACCTCTTGGTGCTTGTACAACAACAGTTTGAAGTGTAGGGCGTCTAACAATAAAACGATTGTCCTGTTCTACTGGAAGGTCATCGAAGTGACTTGTGGAACTTCATTCGGAAGAGATGTGGAGCACTCGAATTCAAAATGTTGATACGGTATAACACGAATTGAACTTGGAGTAACTCTGATATCCACAACTAAAATAAAGCATAATAAGCTTATGAAATTCTAGCTGGAATAACAGGAATTTAAAGTTTACCTTATGCAAGGAAAAGATGGGACTTCTCATAGCGCCTTCCAAATCCCTTTTATTTGAATCAGATTGGAAATCTTATAGTCAGTATTTGGTAGATATATGTAGAAATAGTGAAATCTTAGAAAAAACAGCTAACTGCTTTGTACCAGAATGGAGTTCTTAAGCTTCATTTTAAATAAAATTAGTGCAATGATGTTTCATTGTAAGCAAATGATTCCTGAGTTTCAAAAGCACCTGGATTTCATAGAATGATAGCCACTATGCCAACAGTTTCCTAGATCATATTTTCACTGGGAAACATGCATGCATAATATTGCTGACTGATATGTATCAAGATAGCTGAATGTGCATCACTGACAAGTTACGAAAAGGCTAGACAAGCATCGATGGTTTCCCGTAGTAGATGGCTGTTACAATTATAATCATCCGTTATAAAAGGAATCACTGTTTGCGAATAATGGAACAGACTAATCTAGACGCTAACGTTGAGATTAGAGGGAAGATTCAAACGACAGTACTTCTGTCTTTTTGACGAAGCAGTCTTCATATGGAATACTGATCTTGATATCGTAGGTAATGATTGAGGTTGCAAAGAAAACCATGTTTGCAGAGGAATCAAACAGCCATTCTCAGACTTCTGGCTTGGTGCTTCATCAACTGTGATACGGTGGTCACTTTCTGAGCTATGAAATATGAGATATTTCACCACGATGCACAAACAAAACATGGTTGGCATTATACTTATGTCAGAAGTTTGAAACAGAAGTCTTATAACATCACACAACTGGTAAACGTAATTCGCACACAGCAACTATAGTAGAAATTTTTAAATCTTGAGACTAATCCCGAAAGATGACACGTTAGTCTGCTAGGCCATCAGCTACATTAAATGTATGAACGCTGATAATACTACCTGGTCTCTCAGGCCGAAGTAGGTGTGAGCAGAATTTGAACCTGGGCTCCTATGCATGAAGGTCAAGTGCTGAAACCTATGGACTGAATAGTCACAGATGTCACGATGTACTCAGCAGCCATGCCCAAGTTCCTACTTTCGGTGACGTTGTAGTTGCGTGAAGGCTAGTAATAATACACGGCTGCTAAAACTTCAGCAGGTGGAGGGTGCTTCGAATGCATAACTTACTGGTTGAGAATCAAGTAATTGGACAAATGAGAGACACTTCCTCAACTAACATTTAAGTTAAACAAATAGAATGAATTTTTTCATTCTGAAAGCGGTCCAGTAAACTAGCATATATAATTAAAAATTTGCTGATGCAAATATGAATCAGTTTGACCATATTTTATGAAACATTCCTTCACTGTTGTCATGTGAGGATAATATTTATATTTGACAGTACAGCTTGAGAATGATATGGATGAAAACAGCAATTCTTCGTTCAACGTTTTTGTTTTGTTTTATGACTCAATTAATGCATATTTCTAAACTACACAAACATAATTATATGAAAATTCACAGATAAACTACCATTCATATTCGAAACTACTGAATTAACTAGTGTATGCCTTTATTCTTCCTCCATATCCCTGATAGTCTTTCGTACAACCATAAACGAAGGAGCACTTTACTTCGTAAATTCACTTTACCTTCATTTACTATACACCGATACACTAATCTACAGAAGGAAAGGAGATTATTATGACGATTTCAGTAAGAAGTCTAAGTCATACCAAAGGATGAATTGGGAAAAGTGTGCATCCAGCAGTAATAGCAGTCGGTGTAATTAGCAAGTAATATATGCTGAAGCCTTATGTTCCATTAGGAACCCGAGGGACAAATAATAATAATAAAAATAATAATAATATGTTGATCAAAATTTGTTAATGAGGACTTCAATATGGGTGCAGAGTTATTTGACATGACACTGTATGCTATGCTTTTTGGCGTTAGATACACGTTGGTAATGAGTATCAAGTGGTATAAAATCCAGCTTTCAAAACATCATGTCATTTGATTTCTAACAGATATTTCATTAGAAGCATGAACCATAAATTCGTAAATTAGACAGCAATTAAATAAAATCCTTCAGATACAATAGATTGTAAATCTCCGTCCTTGATTGGACAGAATTGATCTAGAGTTGCTGGCATATAGGCTGCGGTACGAATGCCTCAGTACAACCAATATTTTCAGTCCTGATATAAATAATACAATTATACTGCGCCTGTCACATAAAGAGTGGTTATCTTGACACATTGGCTAAGTGGTTTGTGCTATAGCTATTGAAGTGATCGGTCCTGCGTTTGAGTCTTAATTGAGACAACGTCACCCTCTCGGAGGCATGTACAACCAGTTAACGAGAACCGAATAGGAAGAAACACGCGCCCTCGATTCCACTGCTAGCCACTATCCATTTTAAATGGTAAAATTCTTGTTGCACTGAAATTTATGAGCAAAGTAGTTCAGTTAACTAGTCAGAATTTTTTAGCACAACTATCATCAGATTGGACGTTAAATAAAATCATGAATCTCATCTTGATATTACTTGCTGTATTAAAAAGTGCTTAAATTTATCAAATCCATATTGTTATATCGTAAAAACTGCATTTCATCAGATAAAATTCTCTTCCCGAAAAACTTCTGAATTAAGAAAACATGTGATTTAAATAAAACAGACTCATTCTTCTGTTATCATATGATCTAGTCATTTGTGCAGTCAGTTAGACCTACAATCTCTAAGTTATATATTATCCAATCCACAGTTTACTATGTTGATGGAAAAAATGATTCACACCTTGGCTGAGAAATACTCAAAAATAAGCATCAATATAATCTGTTTCATTAACAGTGGGGAGGCAAAACACCTTAGACAGTTCATGTAAGTAGATATTGCGGTATAAACTGAAGCAATAGATAAGGAATAAAAAAGACTGAAGTTGCAGATAACTCTCAATGACATGGTCTCATCTTACTACATTCTGAATTAACTAATTTTGTGAAATGTCAGTCACTGATTTCAAATTATTCAACCCAAGAGCAACATAACTATCAGAAGGCCTGAAAGTTGTGAATTTAATGTGGCCAGGAATTACTGATAAAAGTTCGAATTACATTCGGAGGTTTGTGGAGATTTATTAATTGGTGTTAGGTTGGAATTCTTCATGAACTGACATCAGTTGGAGGTACACTGGACAGCTGTTTCGTCCTAGTATGGGACTTCACAGCAGTGCACCCTCCAGGGATCGAACCAAGGACCATCTGGTCCTGTGACCAGCATGTTGCCATTCAGCCAGCTGCTAAGTCGGACTCCACTGGTCCATATTCCCAACTTCTGTCAGCTCACGACGAAGCGCGATCATCACCCAATGTCATCGTTGAGTATTGTCTTCGTGGCCACCAGGTTACCCCAACGGTCATGACTTCCCATTGGGACCTCGGGAATCACCTCTCGAAGCTAGTTGCCAGTGATGAATACCAACCTAAATTCAATTAATAAATCTCCATAAACCTCCAGATAGAATCAATCAAGTGCTCATTGGTAATAAGCTTAGAGAGGGGATTCCCGAAGTCCCAATGAGTTGTCCCCAAGTCAAAATTATATCAGTCCATGATGAATTCCAACCTAACATTTAGAATTTTGAGAAGGAAAATATCTACAAGGTTCTTAAGCTTTCACTGAAGATTTGGGGAAAATGACCCAATTATGGTGTTGAATTTCTACTAATGGATACAATATAATGATTTTGAAAAAAACATACTAATAAGCGATAATGCCATTTTAATTGATTTATTAGATTTACCACACAGTGGAAGTGTTTTGTTCACTGGATTGCGTTTCACACATGATTTATTGTATATAGCAATATCAAGATAACTACAAAACTTTCAGACATCCTTTATATAGTTCTAATTTCCTCGCCACCTTTGTGATATAGGTAGTAAGATTTTCCATATATCCACAACAGGTGCCAGGTCATTCCTGTTGCATGTGTTAGGTGTTGATTTGATAAACAAAGATTCAGTTATAAATCTCTTCCTCCACCCTGCTACGCTAGTCTTAAGTAATTTGACCTTGTCCCATCCTGTTGTATGATTGTGTGTGATCACATGCATAGTTATGGGCAAGCTCTTTTCTAGATTCCTTACCCCTTACTAGGATCTACCAATTTTGACCCAGATAGGTTTTTGTGGTCGGATAGCCTAATTGACTCTCGTAGACTATTTTGACCTATGTATTTGACCTCGCAATTGTTGTCAGGGTTTTGGTAAACTAAGTTATTCTGCTTAGTTGAATCAATAGGATCTTTTAACCTACAAGTTTGTCTAAAAGAAGAAATTCATGGAATAGTTAAGAAGTTGCACAGTATCTATAGCTACAATGAAGAACTAAAAATATAAACTGAAGCAAACGGGACCATACGAGCAAGCTAAGGAACGTTATTATGAATATGGTTAAAAAACCACGGTGGATCTAATATACTGAATGAAGCCGTTTCTAGGTGATACGAAATGATTTAATTTAGTGCCGAAAACTAATAACCCCAGTAGAATACGATAGATCACTAAAGTATATATTGTAATGCAGATAATACATGTTTATTCAAAAACACGGAGAACAGATGGAGTCTCAGGCAACCAATATTTCTTCAAGATGAAATCTGCGAACTCTGTCTGTCTTAACTTATATATTGCTGTTGTGCTATCTGACAGTGATAATAATTAAGTCTAGTAACTGATAGTTCCTATTAAACTCATGAAATCGTAATTATGGTATATGTCGTGTCAACTTTTCAAGGAGTGAGAGTATAATAAAAAGTCCTGAGGAAATTTCTTACCGCAATATCGTTCACTTTCATCTGAACCATCCCGACAGTCTGGTTTTCCGTCACAAAATGTATCATGTGGTAAACATTGACCATCCATACACTGAAATTGTCCAACTGGACAAGGTCTTTCAATTTCAATAACAGCTGTTCTATTTTCTTGTCCAGGAAATACACAGCTATAATGATAATTATTTAAAAACAGTTAAGTATTTCGAAAAAAACTACCAATGTCACCACGATTATATGCTTTAATGATAAGAATATATTATCATTTGACTATCTGAGATAACCGTAGTTTGGCAGACTAGCACTTACACTGGGTGATGATGCTCCCTCCCTCTCTCTGATTCAGTTAGATTTGGATTGGGCTGATAAGTTCTGACTACGCAACCAGTGTGAATACGATCAAGCGGTAGTAACGTGCCACGTATTCACCTGGTAGTCGGACAAAACCCTTGATGATTGAAGTGGAATAAAATCTGATCAGTAGTCGGACCTCGTAGCTCAGTTGGCAAAGCATCTGGCCGGAAACCCAGTGGTCGCTGATTCGAAACCGGCAGCGGCCCAAATTTCCATTTCACCTTCAATCATCACCCAGTATAGATAAGAATATAATATAATAAATCCCATTAATAACTTACTAAATGTGAAACGGATGATCTCTGTCTGTTAAACCATATACTGCGTTCACTCGTAGATGTGTTGGCGAGAGGTATTCCACATTAAAACGACGATCTTGACTGACTAACATGCCACTTGGTAATCTGGCTTCTGGTCTTACACCAGGCACATAGGAAATGCATTCAAACTCGAAACTTCGGTAAGGTTTAACATGAATAACGCTTGGTTTAATCTCCACTTTTATAGCCTCTCCTGGAAAAGAATTCATTGACATTGTGTATATATGTGAAATAAATAATTCTTAAATCCACGAATTGAACACCAGAGAATAAAAAAAGCACTTCATCACAAATAAGTAGTGTTTGAGCTAATGAACTATTCAACAAAATCCGCAGAATTTGCCAGTAATACTCATATTTTTCCTTGAAATACATCAAGACTTCAAGCAAAGAGATGACTGCACATTTTTTATAGCTTGGTCTTTGGATACTGACAATTGTAACAAATGAAGGTTTTCTCATCAATGAGCTATACTGTTAAGAGAATTTTCGCTAAAAACTACTTGATCAAGACAGTATAATACGATCATTATGAAAACGTTTTTTGAAGTAAACAAAATATTCTGATTAACTATATGACCATCTAGATGCCACAGACATAAGTGAGTATTATCCAAGTTAAAAACATATTCAATAACGAAAAGTAGTTATTGTCGACTCATACTTACTGCAGTGAGGAGGTCGCTCATCTGAACCATCTGGACAATCTACTCGACCATTGCAAAAATCGCTTTCTGGACGACAGGTTCCATCAGCACACATAAACTGACCACGCGGACAAAATCGTTGAACCATGATTTCAGTCTCTTTCCTTGGTCCACCGGGGAATGTACATCTACAGAGTTTAAAGTAGTAAACATACCAATGAAACTACGCTGTAACTCAAGGCCTGTGGTGATACAGTGTTTTTATATTCATTAGATTAATATACAAGCATACTTTATTATTAAATTTGATGTTTTGAAAGAATCTAAGAGATGTTTCATCATAACAGCCCTTCTATCCACTTTACGTACATTTTAAAACGAGAACTGAGTAAAACGTTACACATGTTCTTGCTTGGTCTAAACAGCAACAAATATGCTTTCTATTTTCAGATTTACAAACATTTTTATTTGTGAATGAGTAAACTGACAGAAAAAAAGAATCTTATTGGATAGTCTACGCACTGAACTGCAAATTCGTTTAAAAACCACGTCTTTGTCAATGTCATAAACAGGGATCCTCAAACTAAGCACACTCAAAACAAGATTGAAATTCACCTAATTTTTTCATGATTCAAAGTACGCATACCAAACAACAAATATTTGATGACTTCTCGTCCTGTTTTGACTGATGGTTTATGTTGATTATCGACTCAACTGTTTGAGAGAGTGTAAATATCAGTTTCTTTCGGTTATCAAAGCTATTATTTTCAAGCTTCACTCTACCAAATGATTTCACTGTGTTAGAAAACGGTGACAAAAATTGAGGAATGATTACAAAACAAAAAAATAAACAGACTGAACGTATTGCCATGGCATCACCGATATCCCATATCGCCGCAGACATATTTACGAATTATTGGGAACAGATGGCTCTTCAGAAAATTAGTACTACTACAAAGATATGGTTCAGATATGTAGATGAAATCGGAATATATCAACTGGTTCCTGATAAATGTAAATCAAGTCATGACTGCAATCCGATGAACTTATGACCAGGTAGGTGAATAAGGTCCGCAAGCATTACTGGATGCCAAGATTAAACAAAAAAGAAGGAAATCTGCGAAAGCGTACACAGCGTCCCAACCAATCGAAAAGGTACTTCAAATTGAAACCTCCAAAAACTTTCAGTCAAAGCACGCACACTCAAAACTTGACAGGTTAACTAGTCCACTAATTACCACCCCAGTCCTAAACCCAGATAAACAGGAAGGTTGGCCATACGGCTAACAACCCTAACCCGGAAAACCAACCCAATCGCTAAAGAAACTACAGACCACAAACAAAATATACAACATAAAAACAAACAACAGAAAACACAGGAAACGAATTGTGCATGGGTCGAGAAACACTCGGTGAAGTGATGAATGAGAATGGAGAACTGTTTGCAGACTTCTGTGCATTCAACGATTTGGTGATTGGAGGTGAGGCAGTGTCTACAAACACAAGGATATTCACAAGGCAGTGACATGGATTTGATTTCACCAGACACCAGGACACACTACACTTAAAATCAGATCGACTTCATCTCAATGTGAAGAAAGTGGAGACGCAGCCAGCCTACTTGACACAACATCGTGTCAAGAAGAGGAGCAGATGTAGGTTCACACCACTCACTATCTAGTGCAAGCAACCTACCTTCCAAATCAAGTTGAAAGCCTTCAAAGTTGTTGGTGATAGACAGATCACAGTTCAGGTTCAACAACCACCCAGAACAGAAACTGAACTGAAGGATGAAACTACAAAGGACATCTTCACGTTAGTCAGTCAGCAATCGGGGGAAAATGGGAGACATTGAGCTACATCCCTGAATAAACGTGTGTGGAAGAGCACTGGAACTCTTTGAAAGGCATGTGGAAGGAAAGCTGGATAGGTGTGTCAGGAAGGAAAAAGAAGCGGCAAGAGAAGGAATGGACCTCGATGAACACATGGAAGGTGATAGAGGAGGGAGAGGGAGAGGGAGAGGAAGATGGTGAAGCAGAAGACGAACCAGTGCAGTGCAGTGCAGTGCAGTGCAGGGATGAACAACGAAAAGACAAACTGAGTACAACGTATAAAACAGAACAGTAGACAAAGAAGTGAAGAAGAGTGCATGCAAAGACAAAAGACACTTCTGTGACACATTGGCAAGTGAAGCAGAACAGGCTGGAGGTAGGAGAGACAGAAAGCTGACAAGATTATATCAAATAACCAGGTTACTTACTGCCTCGGAAGAGATCAGCGCAGACGAAACCAATGAAAGATAGTGAAGGAAACCTAGTTACCACCAAAGAAGGGAAACAAAGGAAACAATGGGCTGACCACTTCAAAAAACTCTTCAATCAACCACCACCACACCACCAACTGCAACTCGTCCAGAAATACCACCTCCACCCCCACCACAGAATTACCAGTCAACACAAACCCTCCGACAAAAGCAGAACTGAAGTCTTGAACGCCATAAAGTTGCTGAAATCCGGGAAAGCAGCACGACCAGATGTGATTCCTCAAGAAGAATTGAAAACAGACGCGGAGACAACAGCAGACATGCTCACATCACTAGTGTAGGAGGTTTGCAAGGAAGGAAGGAAGGAATGAAGGAAGGAAGGAGGGAGGGAAGGAAGGGAGGGAGGGAGGAAAGCTACCTGCCAATTGATTGGAAGAAAGGCTACCTTATCAGCGAACTCCCAAGGAAAGTCAACCTGTGTTTTTGCAAGAACTGGTGCGGAAGCATGCTGCTGTCCACCTCAAGAAAAATATTATGCCACATCATCCCGAAGAGACTGACAAATGCTCCGCATTCAAAATTACAACCAGAGCAGGCAGGCAGGCAGGCAGGCAGGCTGGCTGGCTGGCTGGCTGGCTGGCTGGCTGGCTGGCTGCTTGGTTGGTTGGCTTCAGGAAGAACAAATCATGTGCGGATCAAATTGTAACGCCACATTACGCATCATCATAGAACACAGCACAGAATGGCAGTCAACTCAACTCTACCTCAACTTCATCAGCCTCGAAAAGGCCTTCAACAGCATCGACCGAGGAGTAATTTAGCAACTGCTGCTATAACACTACGGTCTCAGTGCCACAAACCTTTATCAACCTCATTCAACACCTATCTACTATGCTATATGATGCTATATGTCGAGTGATTCACAATGGAAAGCTCAGTGACGCCTTTGAAGTGAAGACAGGAGACAGGAGTAAGACAAGGTTGCCGACTACTATCATCACTCATCATCTTCCTGATTGTGGTCGACTGGACTGGACTGAACTGAACGGGACTGGATAATGCAGCGAACCGTGAGGAGCTGTGAGAAGATGGGCATACACTGGCTGGACTGATGAAAAGATCCCAGAAGAGGATTCGGATTTCGCCGATGATGATGATGATTTATGTCTAATATCTTGTCGCACAAACTCACAGGTCTACAGGCGAAAACTAACAAGTTGACAGGAGAGGCAGGGCAGCGAAGACGGGAATTCGTTCAGGTGGACGTAGAGAAGACGGAGGTGATGAAGATACCCAACCAACCAACCACAACAACCACCACCACAACAACAACAACAAGCACCAATCACCATCAACGAGGGAGATCTAAAGAAAGTAGTCTCTTTCACCCAGGTAGCTACCTAGACAGCATCCTTTCAACTACAGGCAGCGGCACAGACAAGGATTTCAAAGGCAGGATCGGAAAGACAGCAAGACAGGCTTTCATCTACTTGAAATATGTGTGGAGATCTACTGCACTCAGCACAAAGAACAACATCTGGATTTTCAACACCAATGTCAGTCAAGTAAGTCAGTGCTTCTGTGTGATGGTTGACAGACTTGACGCGCGTCACGAAAAGCATTTTCAACAAACTGCAGACATCCATCACATCAACAGCCGCCACCCTCACTCACTCGATACTGAAGATGGAGATCATATGGCCAGAATAATAATAATAATAAGCAACAAGGAACTCTGGTTGGCTGGCTGGAAACGAACCAACCAACAACCGATTGCCCAACAAATATGCAGAAGAAAGTGGAGATGGATTCGATTGGGCATACACTGAGAAGACCGATTGGGGACATCACGTGTCAGGCCGGGCCCTCGAGTGGAATCCGCTACAGAAACGACGAGTTGGTCGTCTCATGTGAGAGTGACATGTAGGCGGTCATGTGAGGAAGAAATGAAGTCTTGTTAGGAGTCGTGGAGCCAGGTTGAAAAGACTGCAGAGAGAGAGAGATAAGAGAGTGAAATTGCGACGTGCTACTTAAGCGCTATGTTACATTGGGAACCCGAGGGATAAGTAGTAAATAATAGTTAGCCAATTAAAATGCTTGAGTGATAGAGGGAAAAGGCTTACTGTTAGATCGGAAAATCTTTGACAAGAAATATGACACATGAAGTATACCCAATGTCTGAATAGTTACCCACGAAAATTTAGAAATAAATTTATGAGAAATCGACACCGGAATGTTAGCAGTGGTAATAGTAGTAATACAGGTGTTAATAATAATGATGCCACTACTAATGTTAATAGTGGCGACAAGTTTAAGTTAGAATTCAAAGCCTCTGCTGTGTTAGTATACAAGGAAGGCACCTCAGAAACATTACGAAAAATTCTCAATAAGGCTGGGATTAAAGTGACATTCAAACCAACAAACTCACTTAGAAACAAGCTTTTTAGGTTAAAACATCCTATCGATGCGATTTAGCAAGATAATCTGGTTTACCAGATCCCTTGCGATGATTGTGAGGTCAAGTACATAGGTCAAAGCAGTCAACCAGGGTCGATTATAATAACAGAGCACAAAAACTTAGCTAAATCAGGATTAGTAGATTCTAAGATAGGATAAGAAATTTAGAGAAAAGCTCTGCTATAGCTCTGCATGCGATGACACAAAATCACACAGTAGAATGGGATAGGGTGACAGTGTTGAAAACTAACTTAGTTGTGCAGAGAGAGATTGATAACCGAATCTTTGTTTGTGGAATCAACACCAAACACATGTAATCGAAATGATTCTGCACCTGTCCCAGATACATGGAAAATTCTCCTACCCATGTCGTCACAGAGAAGGAGAAAAAACTGGTAATATATAAAGTCTATCTCGAAGTTGTGGAGTCACCTGATATGAATGTGGACAATAAATTGTGTCCAAAACGTTACCCAGTAAATTCTGCTGTTTTACTGTGTGATTTCTCTCATAAACAGACTAAATTGGAATTACAATCGACTACAGTGTCCAAATTTTACTCTTACACAGTAATCTAGTCTGGATACTTGTTCACTCATATTCTCCTGCAATTTGTTAACTTGCAGGTTGATTCACCTACAAACACATGGATAAATTGTTCGCATTTGTCAAAAGACGTTTTATATAATTTATTCCATCCCAGCAGATGGAATAACCGACTTCATTTTGAGTACTGTCTGATTTTGTATTTTTGCGCTTACGTATGCACAGGAAAGTATGTCTTAAGGGTTCGAAAAAAAAACCAATCACTGTATTCCGTTAGATGATATCAATAAAAACCGAACTAAGTATAATAAAGGTACAAATACATCTGGATTACAAAATATGATATGACGTTTAAAAATCTTATCCAGTAAACCAAATAGGTTAACAATACTTTTGTACTAAAGAAGTTTGAAATTAACTTATGCAGTTATCTGTTTGATACTCTGAGTAAGAACTGAAACTGGAGTTGTTTGCACGGAAGACAATGCGATGCTTTGGTTAAATTTCTAGAGCTTGATTCAATAAGAAAATGATTCATTGAACATCTAAATCAAAGCATAATGAATTGCGACCTGAAAATCTTCCTTCCACAACAACAACAAATACTACTACTTCACTTCTCACTATTAATAAGAAACAAGTAGGTAAAATTTCAGGTCTTAAGAATAATAAATCAAAATAAGTATGGAGACGATGAAAGACGTTAGTAGATCCAACCAATCACACAGAAGGCTATCTGTACTAGTTATTAAACAAATTGCGATGAAAAGCTTATGGTTCACTTCTTTCTGAAGTTTGTAATGACAGTGTTGTCCAGAAAGATAACGAAAGCTCCACGACTAAACAGTCCAGCTCAGAGAACACAACGCCATCAAAATCTCACTTCCAATAGTCAACAGTTGTTCAGTTACGTATGTCCATGCCTCTTCCAGTAATTTAACCGTTTTTAGTTTGCAATGCAGATTGTCATAGGAAGAGACGGAGTTATATAATACATTAAACTTTAACACTTTTAGAGTAAAACGACTTTCTATTCAAACATGGTAACAGAAGGCTAAATTAGTGTTTATTATGAGTAATTCTTAGACATTCATGCGTCGCAGCTTGTCTAGTTGTGTGAACTGGTGATACATTTTCGAATACCAAAGGGTTCACTCATTTTGCTGAGGTTATACGCATATTGGTAGATGGCTGCTAATTTATTAAGTACCCCTGGACCTTTGCTTAAAATATGTAAAATAAATTACTAACAACTACTCGTAGCATTGTATTACTGTTTTTAATAAGGATGCTTGGATGCTGCAGATAAGGAAGCTAAGTAAGTTCGCGAAGTCAAGTCTCGGGAAACTACTTTTTATCATATTCTGTTGAAAGAAATTTGAAGTGAAATGGCAGTGAACATTATTAACTGCTTGAAAGATTGTGACACGACCAAGAGTTCCTAAAGTATAAAGACATTCCATTAGGAACTTACTGGATAGAAGTGAAGTTACTATGAAGTTAGAAAGTGTCATACAGTTCACCAATGCCTCTAAAAAGTACAAGGTAAACAAAAGTATCTACAGCAAAATAAATCAAGAAAACTTACATCAGTTTCATACGGTCATCTTTTTCTGTTAGTCCATGAACTGCTTCAACCCTTACAGTGTTAGGATCTCTACGTGTAACTCGAAATCGTGGGTCTAATTCTACTAGTGTGCCATCTTGAAATCTAACAATAGGTTCTATATCTGCTCCCGTTACGGAACATTCAAATGACCACTTCTCATATGGTTTTGTTCGAATAATATCCGGTTCCACACGAATTGTAACTCTTTCTTCTACATAACGTAAATAATTCTAAGTTATTAGTTTGGTTATCTGGAACATCAGTGTTCAGTGAAAAACTGTGATTAAAAAACAGAACTATGATCAAAAACAATGCGATAGTGTTAGCAAAACAAACTGTTTACAATGAAATAGAATATTTCTAATGCATACTATTCATGGTGAGAACAAAATTTACACAAAGATTGAAGCATGAATAATAAAATTTTGACTTTATGCTCAGTAACTATAATAGCATTATGAAAACACACTACGCAAATACCGAAAACAAGAAACACCCCTCAATTATACTAATAGAGCCGAAGATTTATGCAAAAAGAGGTGACACTGTGGTATGTGAACATAGTAGTCGGTTATTTTAAAACTTATTTTTCACTGAAAAAACGTGAAACAGAATTACTCTGGCATTTCCCTATTCAGAGCTTATAACTTCACCATGACAATCATTAATGGAAATTCATGTATTCACAATGTAAATCAATCCAATTTTGTTTGCATGGACATTTCTGCGTCATATATATATATATATATATATATATATATATATATATATATATATATATATATATATATATATACCCTAAATGTTATAGCGTGCGAAGTCGACAAATCAGTTAATGATAATGAAGTAAAGACTTGACGAGCTCCTTTTTATTCTTCCATTCATATTTTGGTAAATTTTGCTTTCCGTTTATATGAAAAATTCATATATAAGATGCTTATTGTAATATTCATATCTTCATCAGAGCACATATACATTGTCAACCATAAAAATGTGACCTGATATTATACCATGTGAAGCTATATCCAAAGATTTTCAGGCCTCCTTAAAATAAAATTTGAGTGAACACTGCTCATATATAAAAGTAACGGTTATGATACGAAAAGCATCGTGCAACACAGTATACAGGAAAGTAAAAAGCCACAACAAGGTAGAATTACAAAGCAAATGAATTACTTCCGTAGGGGAAGTAAGACAGCCAGGTTCCTAATTGATAAGAGACAATTTGGCATTCAGAGAAGAGATCCTGAAAGAAGTTGTGATGAGACAAACCACTAATAGTTAACTGTTCAATAGTTACCACCCTGGTCCTAAACACAGATAAACAGGGAAGGTTGGCCATACGGCTAACAACCCTAACACGGAAAACCAACCCAATCGCTAAAGAAACTACAGACCACAAACAAAATATACAACATAAAAACAAACTCAGTCGTCGCCGGAATCGGAGAGACGAAATGATGTCGGTTGATGAAAGCCCTCGAGAAGACAATTGGCCAATATGTCTTCGCTTCTCTCGATGAAAACAAAGGTAAGTATAAGGACTTGGAATGTCCACACGATGTTTGAAGCTGGCTGGCTGGCTGGCTGGTTGGCAAGGCTGCCCAGATTGCAAGACAGATGAGAACGAGAAGGTATAGCATAGAAGTGCTAGACTAGGAATATGCGAGGAATCACCAGATCGAATGGAAGTGGACTCTCCAAACTGTCAACTGAAGAGTCAATAATCTACACCATATTGTCACACAGATGACAACCACGAGCACACTGAGTTATGGAGTGCCTATCACGATGTCCCCTTGAAAAAGCATCGAAGGCTGTCTCTCATGCAATGGGAACCAGTCTCCTCCTGCAGGATCATGACAGCATGATTCAACTCAACAGAAACGAAAGTCACAATCATACAATGCTACACCACACTAGCCTACACACCTACAAATAACCGAGATGAAGAGTAGGAGAAGGAATTCCACAGACAACTACAATCAGTACTGGACAAGAAAGACTCCACCCCACGTGGCGACATCAAAAGTCATTCTGATGAGTGGGGTGACATGAATGACAAACTGGAGGAGACAACACAGGAAACGAATTGTGCATGGGTCGAGAAACACTCGGTGAAGTGATGAATGAGAATGGAGAACTGTTTGCAGACTTCTGTGGATTCAACGATTTGATGATTGGAGGCGAGGTGGTGTGTACAATCACAAGGATATTCACAAGCCAGCAAGAACTGCTGAGGAATCATGCTGCTGTCCACCTCAAGAAAAATATTATGCCACATCATCCCGAAGAGACTGACAAATGCTCCGCATTCAAAATTACAACCAGAGCAGGCAGGCAGGCAGGCAGGCAGGCAGGCTGGCTGGCTGGCTGGCTGGCTGGCTGCTTGGTTGGTTGGCTTCAGGAAGAACAAATCATGTGCGGATCAAATTGTAACGCCACATTACGCATCATCATAGAACACAGCACAGAATGGCAGTCAACTCAACTCTACCTCAACTTCATCAGCCTCGAAAAGGCCTTCAACAGCATCGACCGAGGAGTAATTTAGCAACTGCTGCTATAACACTACGGTCTCAGTGCCACAAACCTTTATCAACCTCATTCAACACCTATCTACTATGCTATATGATGCTATATGTCGAGTGATTCACAATGGAAAGCTCAGTGACGCCTTTGAAGTGAAGACAGGAGACAGGAGTAAGACAAGGTTGCCAACTACTATCAACACTGATGATCTTCTTGATTGTGGTCGACTGGACTGGACTGGACTGAACTGAACGGGACTGGATAATGCAGCGAACCGTGAGGAGCTGTGAGAAGATGGGCATACAATGGCTGGACTGATGAAAAGATCCCAGAAGAGGATTCGGATTTCGCCGATGATGATGATGATTTATGTCTAATATCTTGTCGCACAAACTCACAGGTCTACAGGCGAAAACTAACAAGTTGACAGGAGAGGCAGGGCAGCGAAGACGGGAATTCGTTCAGGTGGACGTAGAGAAGACGGAGGTGATGAAGATACCCAACCAACCAACCACAACAACCACCACCACAACAACAACAACAAGCACCAATCACCATCAACGAGGGAGATCTAAAGAAAGTAGTCTCTTTCACCCAGGTAGCTACCTAGACAGCATCCTTTCAACTACAGGCAGCGGCACAGACAAGGATTTCAAAGGCAGGATCGGAAAGACAGCAAGACAGGCTTTCATCTACTTGAAATATGTGTGGAGATCTACTGCACTCAGCACAAAGAACAACATCTGGATTTTCAACACCAATGTCAGTCAAGTAAGTCAGTGCTTCTGTGTGATGGTTGACAGACTTGACGCGCGTCACGAAAAGCATTTTCAACAAACTGCAGACATCCATCACATCAACAGCCGCCACCCTCACTCACTCGATACTGAAGATGGAGATCATATGGCCAGAATAATAATAATAATAAGCAACAAGGAACTCTGGTTGGCTGGCTGGAAACGAACCAACCAACAACCGATTGCCCAACAAATATGCAGAAGAAAGTGGAGATGGATTCGATTGGGCATACACTGAGAAGACCGATTGGGGACATCACGTGTCAGGCCGGGCCCTCGAGTGGAATCCGCTGCAGAAACGACGAGTTGGTCGTCTCATGTGAGAGTGACATGTAGGCGGTCATGTGAGGAAGAAATGAAGTCTTGTTAGGAGTCGTGGAGCCAGGTTGAAAAGACTGCAGAGAGAGAGAGATAAGGGAGTGATATGGCGACGTGCTTACAGAATTGAGGTAGTTACCTAATTTATGATAGGAGACAAATTTTACTAGAGTAATTACCTTTGAAATCATGAAGTAGACTAAGGGTGACGCGATCGCCGTAATTACTGTCTATTTTTCATACAATGGAGAAAAGGGGAAAGCTGGAAAAAGGACCAAGAAGAATTTATTGACCGATACAGAATATGACAGAAACTAGTTCCTTAAAAATAATGTGTTGCAAGAATTTTGTTATGAGATTTTGCTGAATCAAATGTACAGCTCTATTCTGTAATTGGAAGCATTTCAAGATAATATTTTTACCTGAACTATTTTGAGACAAGCAAAGTGTTCTTCGATATACTTGTAAGTCAGGACGACTGAATACTTAACAGGAATGTTGATCTTTTTCCGCTGGTATTGTTATCATCTAAATGAAAACGGTTATGTAGAATGTCTTAAATATTTCTCGTAGCTGTGTTGCAGCATTACACGTTACAAAACCTCTACTGTATTTCAAACAAGGCATTTCATAGAAAGATTAAACCTTCATCAATATTTACAGTACGCAGTAGTTGTCACTGGCCGCCACAGAATCCAGTTATTCAAACAACAGGAATTTATGCAATGTTCCGGATGTCGAAATTCAATAAATGTCAACAACTATGAAACAGAGATCATGCGAATACATTCCAGCTAAAATAGCACCGTATTCAACAAAGATGTCGTCAAAAATAGATCGGCCCATTGAAAGCGATATTGATGGAAACAAATCTAGCATAAAGTATATATTTGCAACAAAAAAGACTTAACTGCAGCTAGATGACATGGGAAAAAAATTTCCAGAAATCATTCCAATCAGTGCGGAAAAGTAATTAGGGCGAAAAGAATAAAAAATCAGAAACACACTTGAAATGAAAAAAGATAAATAAAAATATCGAAAAAAATTCAGTGACAAAACACAAAACCACCTAAAAAAACTTACCACAAAAGATTTCATCTGACCCATCACGACAATCACGTCTGCCATCACACCTCATATTTTGTTCAATGCATTCACCGGAAGAGCACTGGTATTGGTCAGGAGAACAACGAGCAGGTGCTACAGAATAAGTTTCAGAGGCGATAAGATTGAATTAAAATTTGTAGGAAAAATCCGTACTGCATTTTACAACGAATTACTAGTCATGGATGAATAGTCTGTGATACAAGAACAGTCGTTCGCCTCAAGAAGTTATTGGAATTCACCAAGTGACAGTCAAACTGCTACACATTCATTTCTACTGAAATATTCAACTGTCGTTTATCACTGTATATGGACTAATGCTAGTATCGGCCGTGATTGTAGTGGTAGTCGCAGTAGTAATAGACTACTAGTATAAGTAAACGAAGATATAGTGGTGATCTAATAAGCGCAAGCAGTATGTCTACAAAACCATTTATGTTTTCTTAAATATGACAGTGGCACATAGCGTTTGTGTGAAAACTTCAGTAAAAATGGCAGATTCCAACGCATGACCGTCTGCCTAAATATCAAGTACCTGATCAATCCAACAATGGTGCTGCATTTTGAAACGACAAATTCTTACGAAGTTACCACCACCAACATAGATTTATTTACTCATGTTTTGAAGCAACCATGAAGTGAATGTGAAGGTTTCTTTCTTCATGGGCTGCTGTTTACATCTGGAAAAAATCCACTGAAAAACCATGTCTACCCACAAATTTACAAGCGGGTATTAGGAAAAATGTGGTTTTGAGGTTTAATTGGAAAACATCTTTCATCTTTAATCATAACTCGTGTCAAAATAGGATCGATTTTATACCCACTAAAGAGGGAAAAAGATTTTTCAATCATAAAATCTCTTCAACAGTCAGTATTCTGACGTCAGTAAACCAAAAACAGATTTTTGAGTATGACTGTGAAACGGAAATATATTTGGTGTGTAAAGAAGATGTGTAAACCTGAGGAAGTTATTCAACTCATCTGTGACACTGTGGATTGGCATAAAGTCGATTACAACTATATCTCGATGAACAGAATTGAAGAAAGAAGTGATTTCAACACTATAGAATATTGACAAGTATAAGAAAAAGAATTCAATTGCTCGTGAATGCACAGATTTTCAGAATAACAGCCAAGAAACACAATGTCAACAAAAGGAGACTAGTGAGAAAGCACTAAAATAAAAGTAAACCATTTGAATTTATAACAACACTGTGTAGCTGAAGGTGAGAAGAACGTCATCTAAGGACTAGTAGAAAAAAGGGAAAATATTCATTCATTTGAGGAGTTTCTTTTATGATTTTGGATTATGAATTAGTTTATGGCTTGTGGAAATTGGTCATTTTTCTAGGGCGTTTTTAAATTTATCTGTTGCGTGATACCTATAGTCAATTTTGTGGCTTTACTAGAAACTTCAAGACTGCTACGGTAGTCAAGTTCCGTAAAAGGTTTGACACACTAAGTGGGTTCATCTCTGTTTGTGTTATTAAGTAATGCAGGGCATTTCACCGCAATATATATATCATTCTACATTTCAGTTGAAAATAAAATGCTGAGAATACCTAACATGTGCAGTATTTAGATAAAGACGATAATTTTATATTGTACCATTCAGTAAGCAAGCAAAAAGAGAAACCCAATAAAATTCATTATTATGATGTGTCTAGCAGTAGTACAAAATAACGTCGTAGCAAACGAAAGAAACCCAAAGTAATCTTTAAACACAATGAGGTATCAAAACTGCAGCTGGCTAACATGAGAAACTCAGATGATATCTTACTTACGGCAACCAGCCTCATCTGAACCATCACGACAGTCTCTTCTACCATCACACCTCATATGCCGTTCAATACATTCACCAGAATAACATTGATACTGATCGGGACGACAACGAGGAGCTATTAGAAAGTAAATTGCATAGATAATCAAGTCAGATTTCATCCATTATTCGGTTTACTGCTACTTTTTTTGTGACGTTCATTATATACGTCGAATATATACATATACGTCTGTTAATTAGACTTAAATATCTCAATGATATACCTTATTACCGGTCTTTACCACTGATTCAGTTTAAAGGATTTAGCGTCGCTGACATTTCACTTGACTCAAACATTTTATTTATGCATTCTTCATTGTGTAACGGAAATACTTGTGCACAATAGTACAGAGTAATTGCAGATGAGATTATTTATTTGATATCGCACGCTGTGACACAGTATAACTTACTGGATGACATTTTCAGCGAAATTTATTGCTCACGTTCATACCAAAGTACTCATACTACTTTCAATCTCCGTTTATGAACTGTTGGACAACAAAAAGGAATTTTGAAAATGCTATTATTACTTTGACACGAATAAGAGAAATAAACTCAGCTGGAAACGTCATCCAGTTAAGCATATCGTGTCCATATAGCCTACATCAAGTAAACCATATGATAAGGAATACTTCATTCTATTTGGTAGAGGCTCAGACATAAGATTGTTTCGAAATTTAGGAAGGGATTTGCAGCTCAAAATGTGTACCATGGAGCCTGGTGTTCTATGAGATTTGATATTTTGTCGTAAACTTCTCATCATTATTCATAGCGACGTCTTCAGCAATAACTTCACGAAGAAGCGAAGAACAGTCGAATATATCTCCAATGATTAGGTGGTGTCATTTCATAATCAAACTTTCAAAAAACCAGTGAAATCTCTAAACACCACTTAGTGCAAAAAAGGATTCAAGGCCAAAAGAAAACAGGATAAATTTTCTTTATAAAACAAATTGTAAAACTTGTTCACAGCATTATGTTCGTCAGTATTGTGGTTGAAATGCTCAGAAAATTCATGAACACCATCTAGCAGCGAACCGTCGCCTAGTTTAGTAATTCACTAGTTATTAACCCAGTCCCAAATCCAGATAAAAAGGGAAGGTTAGCCATACGGCTAACAACCCTAACACGGAAAACCAACCCAATCGCTAAAGAAACTACAGACCACAAACAAAATATACAACATAAAAACAAACTCAGTCGTCGCCGGAATCGGAGAGACGAAATGATGTCGGTTGATGAAAGCCCTCGAGAAGACAATTGGCCAATATGTCTTCGCTTCTCTCGATGAAAACAAAGGTAAGTATAAGGACTTGGAATGTCCACACGATGTTTGAAGCTGGCTGGCTGGCTGGCTGGTTGGCAAGGCTGCCCAGATTGCAAGACAGATGAGAACGAGAAGGTATAGCATAGAAGTGCTAGACTAGGAATATGCGAGGAATCACCAGATCGAATGGAAGTGGACTCTCCAAACTGTCAACTGAAGAGTCAATAATCTACACCATATTGTCACACAGATGACAACCACGAGCACACTGAGTTATGGAGTGCCTATCACGATGTCCCCTTGAAAAGCATCGAAGGCTGTCTCTCATGCAATGGGAACCAGTCTCCTCCTGCAGGATCATGACAGCATGATTCAACTCAACAGAAACGAAAGTCACAATCATACAATGCTACACCACACTAGCCTACACACCTACAAATAACCGAGATGAAGAGTAGGAGAAGGAATTCCACAGACAACTACAATCAGTACTGGACAAGAAAGACTCCACCCCACGTGGCGACATCAAAAGTCATTCTGATGAGTGGGGTGACATGAATGACAAACTGGGAGGAGACAGCACAGGAAACGAATTGTGCATGGGTCGAGAAACACTCGGTGAAGTGATGAATGAGAATGGAGAACTGTTTGCAGACTTCTGTGCATTCAACGATTTGGTGATTGGAGGTGAGGCAGTGTCTACAAACACAAGGATATTCACAAGGCAGTGACATGGATTTGATTTCACCAGACACCAGGACACACTACACTTAAAATCAGATCGACTTCATCTCAATGTGAAGAAAGTGGAGACGCAGCCAGCCTACTTGACACAACATCGTGTCAAGAAGAGGAGCAGATGTAGGTTCACACCACTCACTATCTAGTGCAAGCAACCTACCTTCCAAATCAAGTTGAAAGCCTTCAAAGTTGTTGGTGATAGACAGATCACAGTTCAGGTTCAACAACCACCCAGAACAGAAACTGAACTGAAGGATGAAACTACAAAGGACATCTTCACGTTAGTCAGTCAGCAATCGGGGGAAAATGGGAGACATTGAGCTACATCCCTGAATAAACGTGTGTGGAAGAGCACTGGAACTCTTTGAAAGGCATGTGGAAGGAAAGCTGGATAGGTGTGTCAGGAAGGAAAAAGAAGCGGCAAGAGAAGGAATGGACCTCGATGAACACATGGAAGGTGATAGAGGAGGGAGAGGGAGAGGGAGAGGAAGATGGTGAAGCAGAAGACGAACCAGTGCAGTGCAGTGCAGTGCAGTGCAGGGATGAACAACGAAAAGACAAACTGAGTACAACGTATAAAACAGAACAGTAGACAAAGAAGTGAAGAAGAGTGCATGCAAAGACAAAAGACACTTCTGTGACACATTGGCAAGTGAAGCAGAACAGGCTGGAGGTAGGAGAGACAGAAAGCTGACAAGATTATATCAAATAACCAGGTTACTTACTGCCTCGGAAGAGATCAGCGCAGACGAAACCAATGAAAGATAGTGAAGGAAACCTAGTTACCACCAAAGAAGGGAAACAAAGGAAACAATGGGCTGACCACTTCAAAAAACTCTTCAATCAACCACCACCACACCACCAACTGCAACTCGTCCAGAAATACCACCTCCACCCCCACCACAGAATTACCAGTCAACACAAACCCTCCGACAAAAGCAGAACTGAAGTCTTGAACGCCATAAAGTTGCTGAAATCCGGGAAAGCAGCACGACCAGATGTGATTCCTCAAGAAGAATTGAAAACAGACGCGGAGACAACAGCAGACATGCTCACATCACTAGTGTAGGAGGTTTGCAAGGAAGGAAGGAAGGAATGAAGGAAGGAAGGAGGGAGGGAAGGAAGGGAGGGAGGGAGGAAAGCTACCTGCCAATTGATTGGAAGAAAGGCTACCTTATCAGCGAACTCCCAAGGAAAGTCAACCTGTGTTTTTGCAAGAACTGGTGCGGAAGCATGCTGCTGTCCACCTCAAGAAAAATATTATGCCACATCATCCCGAAGAGACTGACAAATGCTCCGCATTCAAAATTACAACCAGAGCAGGCAGGCAGGCAGGCAGGCAGGCTGGCTGGCTGGCTGGCTGGCTGGCTGGCTGGCTGCTTGGTTGGTTGGCTTCAGGAAGAACAAATCATGTGCGGATCAAATTGTAACGCCACATTACGCATCATCATAGAACACAGCACAGAATGGCAGTCAACTCAACTCTACCTCAACTTCATCAGCCTCGAAAAGGCCTTCAACAGCATCGACCGAGGAGTAATTTAGCAACTGCTGCTATAACACTACGGTCTCAGTGCCACAAACCTTTATCAACCTCATTCAACACCTATCTACTATGCTATATGATGCTATATGTCGAGTGATTCACAATGGAAAGCTCAGTGACGCCTTTGAAGTGAAGACAGGAGACAGGAGTAAGACAAGGTTGCCAACTACTATCAACACTGATGATCTTCTTGATTGTGGTCGACTGGACTGGACTGGACTGAACTGAACGGGACTGGATAATGCAGCGAACCGTGAGGAGCTGTGAGAAGATGGGCATACAATGGCTGGACTGATGAAAAGATCCCAGAAGAGGATTCGGATTTCGCCGATGATGATGATGATTTATGTCTAATATCTTGTCGCACAAACTCACAGGTCTACAGGCGAAAACTAACAAGTTGACAGGAGAGGCAGGGCAGCGAAGACGGGAATTCGTTCAGGTGGACGTAGAGAAGACGGAGGTGATGAAGATACCCAACCAACCAACCACAACAACCACCACCACAACAACAACAACAAGCACCAATCACCATCAACGAGGGAGATCTAAAGAAAGTAGTCTCTTTCACCCAGGTAGCTACCTAGACAGCATCCTTTCAACTACAGGCAGCGGCACAGACAAGGATTTCAAAGGCAGGATCGGAAAGACAGCAAGACAGGCTTTCATCTACTTGAAATATGTGTGGAGATCTACTGCACTCAGCACAAAGAACAACATCTGGATTTTCAACACCAATGTCAGTCAAGTAAGTCAGTGCTTCTGTGTGATGGTTGACAGACTTGACGCGCGTCACGAAAAGCATTTTCAACAAACTGCAGACATCCATCACATCAACAGCCGCCACCCTCACTCACTCGATACTGAAGATGGAGATCATATGGCCAGAATAATAATAATAATAAGCAACAAGGAACTCTGGTTGGCTGGCTGGAAACGAACCAACCAACAACCGATTGCCCAACAAATATGCAGAAGAAAGTGGAGATGGATTCGATTGGGCATACACTGAGAAGACCGATTGGGGACATCACGTGTCAGGCCGGGCCCTCGAGTGGAATCCGCTGCAGAAACGACGAGTTGGTCGTCTCATGTGAGAGTGACATGTAGGCGGTCATGTGAGGAAGAAATGAAGTCTTGTTAGGAGTCGTGGAGCCAGGTTGAAAAGACTGCAGAGAGAGAGAGATAAGGGAGTGATATGGCGACGTGCTTACAGAATTGAGGTAGTTACCTAATTTATGATAGGAGACAAATTTTACTAGAGTAATTACCTTTGAAATCATGAAGTAGACTAAGGGTGACGCGATCGCCGTAATTACTGTCTATTTTTCATACAATGGAGAAAAGGGGAAAGCTGGAAAAAGGACCAAGAAGAATTTATTGACCGATACAGAATATGACAGAAACTAGTTCCTTAAAAATAATGTGTTGCAAGAATTTTGTTATGAGATTTTGCTGAATCAAATGTACAGCTCTATTCTGTAATTGGAAGCATTTCAAGATAATATTTTTACCTGAACTATTTTGAGACAAGCAAAGTGTTCTTCGATATACTTGTAAGTCAGGACGACTGAATACTTAACAGGAATGTTGATCTTTTTCCGCTGGTATTGTTATCATCTAAATGAAAACGGTTATGTAGAATGTCTTAAATATTTCTCGTAGCTGTGTTGCAGCATTACACGTTACAAAACCTCTACTGTATTTCAAACAAGGCATTTCATAGAAAGATTAAACCTTCATCAATATTTACAGTACGCAGTAGTTGTCACTGGCCGCCACAGAATCCAGTTATTCAAACAACAGGAATTTATGCAATGTTCCGGATGTCGAAATTCAATAAATGTCAACAACTATGAAACAGAGATCATGCGAATACATTCCAGCTAAAATAGCACCGTATTCAACAAAGATGTCGTCAAAAATAGATCGGCCCATTGAAAGCGATATTGATGGAAACAAATCTAGCATAAAGTATATATTTGCAACAAAAAAGACTTAACTGCAGCTAGATGACATGGGAAAAAAATTTCCAGAAATCATTCCAATCAGTGCGGAAAAGTAATTAGGGCGAAAAGAATAAAAAATCAGAAACACACTTGAAATGAAAAAAGATAAATAAAAATATCGAAAAAAATTCAGTGACAAAACACAAAACCACCTAAAAAAACTTACCACAAAAGATTTCATCTGACCCATCACGACAATCACGTCTGCCATCACACCTCATATTTTGTTCAATGCATTCACCGGAAGAGCACTGGTATTGGTCAGGAGAACAACGAGCAGGTGCTACAGAATAAGTTTCAGAGGCGATAAGATTGAATTAAAATTTGTAGGAAAAATCCGTACTGCATTTTACAACGAATTACTAGTCATGGATGAATAGTCTGTGATACAGGAACAGCTGTAGGGGATCTTTATCTTTTCTAGTGCATGTAGTTTATGGATTTGTGCATGAGAATGGATGGTGTGAGATGTGAGTTGAATAGATCGAGGGCATCGTTATCTGTGATTTACAGTCGAGTAACTACGTCGCATGCTGCTATCAACGCACGAAAGCCATCAGACGTTTTCTGAAGAATGTCCGTGACCACACTGAATTCTCTAAGCTCAGGCACAAAGATGAAATTTTCAATGGAAGAAACGCATCTGAAATACCTTGTACTACGATTTCCACTTTGTACCAAAGTGGAAGCTGTTAGAAACTCAATAAAAAAGTGGATACTATACTCATCAACAATCATCCAGGATGCATATGCATGGGAAAAAGCTGTGTTCCCAATACTTCGGCTTACCATTCCTACTCTCTCTCTCTCTCTCTCCCTGTATATATATTGTGCACCTCAAAACACTTCTTCATCAGTCAACCACAATATGATACGTTTACACTTTTATTAACATTCTTTCACAGAGAATGAAACTTACGGCATCCAGTCTCGTCTGAACCATCACGACAATCACGTCTGCCATCACACCTCATATGTTGTTCTATACATTCACCGGAAGAGCACTGGTATTGATTTTCACGGCAACGTGGTGCTGGAATGAAAGAAATTATGTTGGTTATTTATTTACATGCTGAATTTCTTTTGTGGTTATCGCCTCTTTTTTTAAATGACATTTTTTTCATAACTTGCTGTTTTTTTCTTGTTTGGTGTATTATAGCTTCTTATGCACTTTCAATATTTTAATTTTTCTCGTGGTTCTCTCATTTTTTCATTCCATAAGTTTTGTTATATTTGTTTAATTAGTGTTTGATTTTTTGGTAGAAAATGCTTTATTGGCCTTATGCATCGCGATATTTGGTCACTAGTTTTTCGCTGTCTACGTGTATGTATCTGAGTTTGAATTCGTTGTTTGCGTTTTATTTGTGATGTGAATCGTATTCTCGATCCATGAGATTTAAGCACACAAATGAGTATTCAATATTTATAAAAATCTGTATAGGTCACCCCATTTGAGATATGTCAGGTGGTTTTTCTCTATCGGAATACGCTTGCAGAGATGCTTGAATTTTTCATCTTACTTCTCATGCTATTCAGCAGCATTATGAGTAATCACTGGGATTATTTACTTGTTGTAACTGTTAACAAGTGCCTACTTGTGAACTTTCTTATTTACATGGGGCTGAAATGTAGCCTGCGTTTCACTGTTTTTTAAATTTATCATCCGGTCAAAAAGTGCTCGTTCAAAACGATATAAATCATTTTAAGGTTACAAGTATCTTCACTGAATTCAACCGCACCCAATAGTTGGTATGAGAATTTTCGAAAATTCATTTTTGATTCGTTTCTCAAAAAATGACTTTCTCGAACTTTTGGTGCAGATGAAATTATCATCAGATTTTGTCAAAATGAAGGATTTTCAGTGTTCCTGATCTGTTTGCATAATTAAAACTGACTGGCAGGTATGCACAGAATTCTGAAATAGGGAGCTAGTGTTGAACTAAAGAAAAGTTAAGAATCACTGTTCCTAGACTTCCAACCTGTTGAATGGTATTGTTTCCCTAAGGAACAATATCAGACTGTCGAGAGCACATGCAAGAAAACCACTTCTACTTCATTATTGAGTACTAGTTATATAGAGAAGTTTTCATAATTACCACTAAGCATCATTACTACTTGTATATAAATATACTTCATATTTCATAGCAGATTCCAAAGTGATGTTTAAATAAATATAATTTCACTAAAGTTTGGTGCTCAGCAATGCACAACTTACGGCAACCCCGTTCATCTGAGCCGTCGCGACAGTCCAGTTTACCGTCACAACGCATTTCTAGGGTAATGCACTCACCAGTGGAGCAAAGAATTCGAGGTGGTTGACACACAGAAACTGAAATTTACAAAAATACAATGCTCAAAGTGTATATGATTAGGGGGTGAAATAAAATGAAACTAGTGACAGTCCTCTTGGACAATAAAAGATAAATGTTAGTAAATTGGTGCAAAAAATTAAACTATTTTCGTATAATTTCATCTTCAATTTTTACCTTACTACTAGATTATTAACATTTTGATGCATTCTCAGACTATCTGAGAATTGTTTGCTTTCTAACATGACTGATACGTGCAAATAAAGCTTGTGTTTAGAGAGGGGTAAGCTGAATCCTACAACTGGGCAACTATACCCTACTTATGACAGTGTTATGAACTAATTAGGTTGACATTTTCTTTTCTTGGTGTAACTTGATGCAGTAGCTGTGAATACTCTGTTGCATTCATGTTATTTCTTAGAAGTCTGGTTCTCCTCAGCTACACTCATGTAGTTAAAACAGCAAGAGAAATGTCTGATATTCTTCTGCGTACTTAGTAATGTGATTATCATCATCAGAGTAGCACGTGTTTCTAGTTTTGGAGTTAGTAGAATGCACTACAATATGAGTGTTATCACTCCATCACAAATATTCTTACCCAACTCTCGATACTTTCATCGGTTCATCAGTCACATAGTTATACTGAATGAAGGCGATTTAAAGCAACCACCGAAGTTGAATTCGTTTACGATTACAAAATAAGGACTTAGGTTAAAATAATCCGATAAATACAAGGGGTAGACAGACGTCATCCTTGATAGGTAAGCACATTATAGAAACTGGTGACAGGAGTGATCTCTACACGGCCTTTAGATCATGAAATAGAGGCTGTCAAGACCGTATACTTAGATTCATTGTAGCCTTAGCTATAGGAAATTTCAACTTCTTTTTGTGCATTTAAAAACATTTTTTGATCTTAAACTTACATCGGTAATCTTTATCGCATTTCAATGCCAAGGGAGGTGTGAAAATGCTTTATTCTTCTTTATTATCCTGATATTTTCACGACTTTGTATTACCTTAAGTTACTTAGCCCACCCATTTTCATCCTTCATATAAAATGCCTTGACAAGTAAATGTGTCACCAGATTGTTCGAAATATACTGCGCAAATATTTCGCACTTCTGAGATAACGCCTGTCTTCCTATTACATTTTGCAAATTCATCACACGGATTTATTAACTGAGACAGTTTTGTTTGCAGAAAAAAGTATTTTGAAAATATAATGCAGCAATTGAGTCAAATGAATTCATTTATAACCTGTACCGCTGATTTTATCATTACTTCACTAATAATGATACACTAAACTCATTTGAACTGAAATCACTGATTACCATTTCAAAAAGGTTGCGTTTATATTCGACTTGCTGTCAGAGCCATGACGATAATTCAGGTCTTCCTTCACAGCTCATAACATAAGCAGGTATTTGTGATGATAAAAGTCAAAGCATTAGTAATGTAAAGCACCAAAGGTTCTCAAAAAACGTTTTCACCTCATATTGTAGAAGTATCCAAGTGTTGCATTTTCTAAAAACCACTCCGTTGCATTGGAATCTTGATATTGCAAGTTTTATTGCATCTATTAGTGTGACAATCCATCAAACGTGGGTAAAATCTCAAAAATTAAATCTCGAGGCACATCGAGCTTTACTGTTTCTGTGGCGCAGATTTGACTATCATCGCTTCTCCCATCCTGTGAATGAAGGTCAACGAGACAATTAGCTCGATGCTAGCTTTCGCTAAACTGTTGACATTTACGACAAAATCATCTCTCAAAGGGAACCGATCCCATAGTAGTTGAGTATCAGTCACATTTCATTGTCGGAAAGTACACGGAATTCATAATGAAATCTGATCAGTCAAAATTAAAAAGTGGCAACTGACACACCAGTCACTTACAAACAGCCTCATATTTCTTTTTAGGTGTACACCTCTATTTTTAATAAGATTCAACTAAATCCTCTAAAAAAAGTAATAGCTTCGACCGAAAAACGTTTGATAAAGTTTGAATATAAGTATTTTGATACTGTAATAGCACTTAAAATACTCTTCTTGCATTACAGCAATTTATCAAAATCACGCTAATGGCATTTCAAGTGTCTCTGAATATGATTCAACCCATTTGTTAGAAAACTGACTCTTTAAGTAAATGTCTAGCGCACAGTGAAGTTGTTTGTATGTAGTCAAAGCCATAGTTGTACAGTTTACTTCTTTTCAAGTGTCCTCGATCTGATGCTTCACAATACCATTCATCACTTGAAAAATCTCAAGATCTAAGTATGATTCCGTTTGAAAAGAAGTTTTTATAAAGCCTTACCACAATGAGGTGGAAATTCATCCGATCCATCAGGACATTCTTGACGTCTATTGCAAAAGTAGGCTTCAGGTAGACAGGTGCCATCTCTACACATCATTTCACCTCGTCTGCACGGTGATTCAACAGTGATTGTCACGTCTGTTGACTCTCCTGTCTCATATGCACATCTGTTAATTCCAAAAAAAAAGAAATTAGTTTTTTACGGTTGCCAATCGAATTATAAGAAATCATAAACAGTTGACTAAATAAAGTGAGCTCCATTGTGGTATCTGAACCTTTCGATTCCATAACCGTAAACAAAGTACTGATTGTCTTAGCATTATTCCAAATGAAACATCAACGAGTCAAATGAATGGTAGGTGGTATTGATGTGAAGAAGAAATATCATTATTTCAGTAATACGAAATTCGGAAACAGGTCTTCTGTTGTTGTTCAAAATATGTTATATAAAAATACTACCTTCCCAATAGGACAGCAGTGCACTTTCTTGATATAGAATTACTACTTTTTTTAAAACTACGACAAAACTGTCTAGGTCATTTACTAGTTGCTAAACTGAAGCTGAAATTCTTTCACGGCTTGCTTTTCTGAGTAAGCAGCTGCGTACTGTCAATCAACATTTACATCTCATTTACCCTGATTCACAGTCACGCACATAAAATTCCCTATATGCTCTATGTCATTAGTTAGACTAACATTTAATAACATCAGCCTAGCATTTGGATAAGAGTTAGGCTGAAAATCTGTCGATAATCAGATATCTGAAATCAGGTACTGCGTTCACAATCCTAACAGATAAACTGCAACTGAACATGTTTCATTTTATTGAAATAAATTCGTCAAATGACTGACTAGTTACGCTAATATAGTAACTACATTTAGCTGCAGTATCACAGTCAATCAACAGTGCATCTTTGTGAAAATGGACTGAGTATTTTGTGTGTATAACTTTGTCGTCCTATCAGTAGTAAATATGCCAGGAAGTAATTTATCTTGGAAACTTCAGAAACTTCTTCACAGTGTGAAACAAACTGTGACAAGCAGGAAAAAAAGCAACCACCGATCAGCATCAGAGAATCCCAATGACTATGGGGGAAACGTGTGGTCATTTAAAGTATACATAAGAAAATCAGAAAAAACGTCTTGATCGAGAGGAAGTGTGCACGTCGCTCCACAGGCTAAAGTAATTTGTAGCATCAGACCAACAGACTACTAGTTTCCAGAACGTATTTATGCTTCCAGTTAGGATACATGAGATAGTCTCGGTAGACAGATACGTCTGCTTTCAAGGTGACAATAACTGCGAGTAACTGAAAATCATAATCATAACAAGATTCAGAGTAAAATATTGCAAGTTACCTGCCCCTGCTAAACTGACCGGCTTAAGAAACTAAACTGTTAGCCAGTTTGTCAAGCAAGAACATATTCAAACTGACTACGGTAATGAAGGAAAGATATGAACCAATCGCTAACATATCCAAATACAAACAATTATCTATCGTTACCATATATGAACGCTGGAAGAAACAATCGATGGACGAAGTAAAGCAAAAACGTGGTAGGGTGTTGCTTTCTGTGGCCAACCTTAACTGGCCAGTTGGACATAAGTGGCTGATTTGAGTTTGAACTCACTCATCATAACCATAAAAATTGTAAGGTGAGCTTCAACTGCTATCAACAAGAATGAAATGGATAGATTTCTTGTCTTATTTCGTTGTGGTATGAGTGTGAACTCACTCAATGGATTTGAATACATCGAACCTATGAATTCGAAGACTTCATCTTGAACGGTATTGTATCAGCCGTGAAAACTGTGTTTTGTGGTTTTATCTCGATATCCTTGGTTGTATTGTGTTCTCTGAGTTGTTTAATCGTGAAGCTTTCATCGTGCTTCTAGACGACATCATCAGCACTAACTTCAGTATGAAGTGAGCTGTCAATAACTCTCCGTGAGCGATTTAGTGGCTTGCTCTGACAATGTGGTCTGTGACTGGTTGTTTACTTTGACTGTTGTGTCATTGACTGTATAGATTTTCCTGTTCGCTGTTTCTCTGATCCTTCTGTCGTTTATCATTTTTCTCATTGATTGATAGATTGGGTCGATGTCTATACATCTGTTGATTGCTGACAGACTGACCTGAATGCCAAGCTTCTAGGAGTTCTCTGACATTCTTCGTGTTTCCCCTGTCCAAAACTTCTACATTGTAGAAATTGAACTCATGTCTATAATTATCCAAGTGCATTGAAATGAGTGACGAAATGTCGTGACGTTGAATAGCCAACTGGTGCTCATCTAGAAGAAGGTGAAGAGGGCGGTCACTTTGTCCAATCTAGTGTTAACTACAGTTATTGCAGTTGATTTTGTGAATGATATTCGGTTTGGTTGTTGCATACTTTGGTATGGATAATAATGGATATGTGTTCTACTTCGGTGTTCAATGAAAAGGTGGGATAACAATAAGCTACACACTGATTTACAATAGTTCCTCAATTTGGATTGAAAGTTGTTGAGTTCACTCGCAGAAATGTTCGAATCACCCCTCTACTAGCTTCATGCATTAAGCATAAATGTGACTGATAACTTATTACTCAAGAGGCTCTCTTACCTTAATACCATATCACGATCTCTTTCAGTTATGTTCAGAACTCTTACTCTGACTGTTTGGTCATCGATCCGTCTAACCTGAAACCGTGGAAAATTTTCAGCTAGACTGCCATTATCCAATAGCACAAGTGGTAATACACCCTGTATATTTGAAGTGCATTCAAATTCAGCCACTCCATATGGTCGCGCAGTTGGACGTGCTGGACGTGCAACTGGTAATTCAGCTACAATTTGGTAAAAATACAAAGAAGTTTCGTCATATCGGTTATCATCAGGGAAAATAAATTTAACTAAGTTGCTCAGAGACCTACGATGTAATAAAAATAGTGAAACCTAAAAATACTGAAAACCTGAAACTGATGAACTATTGTTATCAGGTACACTTTATTACCTTTTACCAATCTGTATCTCAACTACAGTGAAAGAAGGCTAATGGGTGATGAAAGCGTTATTGGGAGGTTACAGTATTGTGTTAGAGTACATATCTTCCTGTTGTTGATTTTTAAGCTGCAAACCTAAGATACATTATGGGACATATCCTAGCGTAATAAAAGGTAATACCGTCACTAAATAGCTATAAAGTTGTGGGTACTGATTCAAACATGAAACCCATAGCAAACGTCTGAAAAGTTGTAAGCTTATGAAATATAGCCCTACGGTACTGCTTGTTTTCTTCTGACAGTTAATAAGATAAAACTTTAGGATAATTTGTGAGGTCATGTTCGTTGTTGAGTTTATTTGTTTTACTATACACATAGCTATCCATGCAAGTCGTAATGCAGGAAAGCCTGCAACCGACCCTGTTCTTTTCCATTCATTTTCATGCTGGCATATCAATCTTGAAATTCTTCAGAGTTTCTGGATCGGTATCTAACCATGGAATTTAAAAAGCAACAATCCAGTACATGAATAAGGTAGAACATTCAGCTTACCACAATTAAGTTCGTCAGACCCATCTGGACACTGACGTCGTCCGTCGCAACGCTGGGATTGGGGTATGCAAGCCCCATCGTAGCACATGAAATAGCCGAAACCACACCGATCCTGAACGACATTTATTATTGCAGTCCTAGGACTTTCATCTGGAAAATAGCATCTGCATAAAAACGTAAAGCAAAAATGCAAGAATGAGTATTTCAGACATTTAAACAGTAAAGTCACATAAAAAGCACACACACACACACAAAAGATGCAGTATATGGACCACCCAACTTACTCAATCCTTGTATCATTTGCTTCTTCTGAAAGTCCTGCGGAGCTTTGATAAGTAGAATTCCTGTTGAAGGCCGTTCAACGGTAAATCGGGAGTCAGTTTCTACATCCTTTCCACTATGTACAAATCTTGCATGAGGAACTTGAGTCACTGGTGCCATAGCTTGACACTGCAGTGAAAAAGGCTCTGATGGTCTAACCACAATGCGAGTCGGACTCACAGTAAGTCTAGCATCTAAAATAAAAATAAGTCCATGTAAATACGTATGAATTCCTAAACATTTATCTATCAATATAAACAAAATCATTCAGTGTATCAATGTCACTTCTACTTGATCAGTCAAAAAATTTTCGTCCACGACCAGTGTGAATATAAGAAAACTGATTAGCCTTCCTAGGTTTAGACCTGCAAGGTTCAACTTCGTAATATGAATGTTTGCAGCCTATTAAGTCAGAAAAAGGTGTACTTAGTTAGTCTTCAATATACTACTGAAAATGCCAAATTAAGTAAGTTAACCAGACGACTCTTTGTAAACTGTATGATAACAAGCACTTTGATAAAAGCAGGAAACTTATATAACTTTTGTCCTTATCTGTATTTGCAACATAGATAATTTACTATTTTCTCAGAGGAAGTCTAGGACTCTAGAGTAATTTGGGTTATTGGACGACAAAAATCTACCTTGGTCGAAACTAGTAAATCCTAGTAAGGTAAGGAAAGACGTCAAAGTCAGAATCGGAAAAGCAAGACAGGCGTTCATTAGCCTGAAACCAGTTTGGAGATCTTCTGCACTCAGTATGTGGAACAAGATCCGGATTTTCAACACCAACGTCAAATCAGTGCTCCTGTATGGTTCAGAGACTTGGAGCATTACGAAAGGCATTCCCAACAAACTACAGATATTCATCAACGACTGCCTACGCTGACTGGTGACTGAAGATCAGATGGCCAGGAAGAATCAGCAACAAGGAACTCTGGACGAGCAACGAACCAACAAAGCAAGAAGCTGTCACTCAACAAATATGCAGAAGAAAGTGGAGACGGATTGGGCGTACGCTGAGAAGGCGGACTGCGGACATCACGCGCCAGGCCGGGCTGTCTAGTGGAACCCAGATGGTAAGCGACGAGTTGGGCGTCGGAGGCGAGGGTGACATGGAAGAGATTGTGCGAGGAGGAAATGAGAGCTTGTGGTCAGTCGTGGAGCCAGGTTCGAAAGATTTCAGAGAACAGAGTTCACTGGAGATGTGCTACTGAAGCCCTATGTTCCATTAGGAACCCAAGGGACAAATAAATAAGTAAATAAAGTAAGATATGGAATCTAGAAAATACCTCAGCCAATGTTATGCATGTAATTATACACAACAACACAATCGGATAGAAAGAGTGGAATTTTTAAAAACTAACCTACCGGGGCGGAGGAAAAGATTGATAACTGGATCTTTGTTTATAGAATTAACATCTAATGCATGCAAAAGGAGTGACTCGATATCTTTTCATGACACATGGAAAATTCTACTAAGTAAGTCATAAAGGAGGCAAGAAAATTAGATTCCTGTAAACCGTATCTTTGTATGCTAATGGACAATAAATTATGCCCGAAACGTAATCCGGTAAATAATGTTGTTCCATTGTGTGATACATCTCTAATGTACACTAAAATGGAATTACATTCTATTACAGTACCCAAGGTTTACTCTCAAATTACATCGTAGGTCTATAACCTCTAAACGTCTTAAATATGCAACATATATGGCTTCTGATATGCCTGATATGCGAATATTCTCCACAAATGCAAATCACAATGTATTCCATTTTTGATCCATATTCCTTATCAGTCACCGCATGTAGACTTTCTAGAGGATACTAGTGTTCTTTGAGGTTCACTGAGGGTACCCAGTTACCATAGAGAAGATTGAAAGTGTTTATCAGTATGCATGAAGATATTAAGAAAGTTTGTAGACTAAAAACACCAAGCTACAGTCCACATAAAAATAACTTACTACAAAAACTGCTACTTTCATCTGATTTATCGGCACAGTCAACCTTTCCATCACATATCCGTGAAGTTGGTATACACTGTCGAATTCGACACTGTGACTGACTAACAGGACAAACATCCATTATGTACAGTGTCACCTCTTTATAATTTAGTCCCGGTAACATACAGCTGAAATTAAAGACATAAAAATTGTCATTGTGAGCTAGAACTAATATTTATTTCCAATTCATCACTGGTGTAATAAATAATGTCAGATGGGTTTTAACCAACGAAACATTTCAGTTTTTCAATATATAATCGACATTTTCACATGAACACACAGTATGTATTACTTTATAATATATATTTTTAATGAGACAGGAAATCACTGAGGAACGTTTTGCATATTAAAAACCATGTGATAAGAAATTATGACATCGTTTGTAAAATTTATGGTAAACAGAAACTGTCAGTTATCGCTGATATGATTTCATCCAGAATCTGAAAACAACTCGCGCGTATTAATGTAGACATGGAAATTAAGCACCATGACAGAGTTGAATCCCATATAACATCGATTCGTTACTCAGGGTAACAAGAGACATATTTTCAGAGAAAATTATTGCACAGATTTCTATCAAGGTGATGTATCAGCTATGGCAAAACTCACTAGATGAGGTAAACCTTTTCGAAATCTATCGAATATTCTCAATGGAGGGTCTTTGAATAACATATTCTCCTCAGTGATATTGAAAGCAGAAATATTGAACTGGAGTTCAGATTGCAATATGCTTTAGTGTAGAAACCATTGTTTCACTTAGTGAGTACACTTGCCTTCGATATCTGTTGTATTCAGAGAATCCACTCAACTTTGGACTTTTATCTACAAAAAATTCTAATAGCATGGCAAATCGAAGACTGACGAGCTATAAGATCACAAAGAAGAATTTTGGAAGTAACGTGATTGTCCGTTTGCGTTTAAAATGGACAGAGTTTGACCGAAATGTGTAAAGTAAATAAATCTATCAACGTATTCTGCATCTAATAAACCGACTGACAGGCGAATATACTCATTAATGTTGAGTAACCAGTTTTATACTGTCTAGGCCAGAATGCTGAATGAATCCTATTTATCTTTTCACAATATAGCCACCAGTCTATAAGACTTCCCATCGCAGAGCACTTTGATGTATGCTAGCTAGATGGAAACAATCAGTAGGAAGCCCTCGACTTAGGTTTTGATCAAGGAGTATCTTCTACCTCGAGGGAACTGATGCCCCCTCCATCGAGACATCTGAACCGCTCAACCCAGAGCTGCAATCAGAGAAGTTATCTCGTCGACACTATGACAGTAAGTTTCCCAGTTTGGTTGCTACATTGTAAAATGATACATAAAATTTGGTCAGCACTCAAAACTAGGGTACATGAAACTGGTTCCCCTCAAGTGACCGACCAGTGTGTCTAATCCAGTTATGTGCTTTAAATGTGACACGAATAGTTCATGGCAACGTCTATAGTCACACCACTGGATGACGCAGGTTGAATTATCTCACAATGGGACATCAGTTCTACTGGGATTTCAGGTACCCCTTGCTGATGAGTGCCCGCAAGCACGGACACTAGGTATATGACATCCTGTCGATTGTCGCTACCCAATTTAGATACTTACTTGTATCTTTATCAGATTTTAATCCATCACATGAAATAATTTTGCCCGTATTGCAATTCACTTGAAAATTATCGCCGAATAAATATTAGTAATTGGTATGTTGGCAACAATCCAGATGTTGTCAATATCCAGAAGTATAGGATGAGAGTTTGTTACGTTTCTTATAACAAACAGAAGGGATTTTAGTAATTAACGCAGAATGACACGACATATTCTTTACATCACCTACCAATTCTGTTTTTAATTCTGCCAAAGTCCAAAGGTATGAATTACTACCGGATTGCAATACAGAAAAAAATACCTGCTCACCGATGATTTACACCTCTAAACAGATTGATAATACTTTTTTAGACGTTTTATTTTTGATAAATGAAATATATTTTGTAAAATCCCAATGAAGTAGAAAATTTTTTATGTTCACTCACTAATTTACTGAGTTGTTCACTATCTCCAATAAAATCGTTTTCATAGGAGTAACTTGAAGCCCTCAGTATGCACCTGATTTCCATAACAAGTAGATGTGGCAGTCTTAAGCAGTGGTAATATATGTTCATTTTAATACTGACGGTAGTGACTATACAAACTAATTTAAATATTTTTTCGATTTGCGTCATCGAATGCGACAAACAAACGTAGGCAGTTTTCAACTGATTCATAGTTTATGGATTGTGTGCAGAATAAAATAATGCAGTATTCTGCGTAATATCTTTGTACTATAAGTAATTGTAGTTAAAGATTTATTGCTGAAAACAACTGACAGTTGTGGGTTGGTTACTTTCTAATGCTAGAATAATCTGTTGAACATTCACCTTCTGAATTAACATGATAGAAATGAGTTAAAAGTAGTAATCATCATGAACCATTGAAAATATGGGAGCACTGGACAGTATGGGACTCCTCAGCAGAACGCACCTACGACCCGGCTAGGGATCGAACTCAGTGCTCGCAGATTTTCAGTGGTTATGCAACTGATGTCAGTCCATGATGATACTACTTCTAAATTAAAAATCCCCATTCATCTCAAAAAAATGAGTTAGTTTGATACAAGTTGAAATTAAAAGAGTCAATTAAAACACAGTTTATACACAGTATTTAAAACAGAAACTGATCAACCAATACATTATCCTCAACTGAAAAGCATGATTTATGAACTGTATCATATGGGTACTAACTGATGACTACAAAGCGTAATCTTAGCAGAGAATAATTTAGGAAAACTCCAACATGAAAGTTAGCGAACTGATGCCAAATGTATGAAAGATCCATTCACTTTAAAGATAGTCCTGTGTAAACAGCCTACAGAAATAATCGCACATACATTTCAGGAAAGTAAGCAACACAATTTGCTTATTAGAGTTACATTTTTCACAGATAAACAAGTTTCTTTCTGGTGTCCCACTGGCGAATCATGATAATTCAGATCATCTGTTTATCATAGGATCCTCAATCGCTTTATCTCGGACAGTCTGCTGTCTTAAAAAATCGATTTACCAAAGGTAAGAAATCCCTTCCATTCACACTACCTCAACTCTTAGCTTCAACAATAATACCTCCATATTAATATATGGACAACAGTTTACGTCATCTTGATTCACAGTGGATGGTTAAAGAACTGGTTTATCAGTCGAAATATTAACAGTCATTAAGTTTACTACACATTTATTTTAGTAACTTGATCATAAACAAATAATTGCACACACATCATGAAGTGATTCTAATTCAAAAGTACATCATTTCAATGAGCTTCAGTTACTACGAATTACTCACAGTTTTTTTCAATCATCTTTACTCAAAAAAACAACAGCCTTCGGTACATCAAATGAACATTCGTTCATACAACGAAAATGATACTGACTGAAACCATAAAGTACTCAAACTGAGCATCTCCTCTTGATCACAACAATCACCATGATCTGTATCCGGGTAAAAATCTTCATTTTTTCACTGGAATTGAATATTTAATGGAATAACTTGTGTGACTTCACGAAATCTTGTCCCCATTTTAGAGTCTTGTTCCATGACAAACCAGACATTTTATCCCCTGAAGATATCTTGTAATCCTCCTTTCATCTGCTACGTGTTACCTGGTTCTTTCTTATTTCTAAGGTTGATGGATCTGCCAGTAGACTTTAATATAAGAATCTGGAGTACTGCCTTTATAAGCTTTCGTGAAGTTTCACTGTCCCCATTTGTTGTATACCATACCAAATGATGAATTATTTTCTGTCCTTATTATATTTCAACATGCTTCAGTTTTTAAAATGAACATATACAAGTTAGTAGATAGTTGTGTGGGGGAAATCAGGTGAGTTGACCTTTGTGTAGTATGCTCAATTTTTGTTTTGAAGAACAGGGCAATCCTTTGCCATATCTCTATTCTCTTACATGATGTGAACTTTACGTATGATATGATATGATATGATATTTTTTCGTAATACAAATAAGTTTCGTCATTTCATTTTTCAAGTAATGTCAACGAAGACATTGTTACATTTAGTACACAATCGGTGACTGACTACATTTCATAATCAAACCTCAAAGTCTGTCAACTCGAGAAACTAGCTGTTTTTGTTAAGATGATGATAAGTAGTTTGAATCTCTCGGAGTATTTGTGGGCAAATTTGCTGCTGAATGAATACGTTTCACTATCTGGGCAAGGCGTTTAGTTATTCGTTCAAAGTAGTGGGCTGACGTTAGAACTGCCCTACATTCTTACACATAAGCCACTTTTTCATCTGCCGAGTACAGCTATTGTCAGTTTTCTTCATCAAATAACTTCCAGAATGATAAATCCTAACTTTTTTGATGCCTTTTATATAGTTTAATAATAAAATTGAACTCTAACAACACAGGTATTGTAAAGTGTGTAAATGCAATAAATTAGTTAAAAAGAATAGACTGTGGCTTGAAATAAAGAGATTACACCGTAGAAATTCTTATACATTTTTTTAATGATATACGAACAATCTTGGAAAATGTTTTCCCTAGTCTGAGTTCTTCAGCTTAGCTTAAGGAGAGGTAAGTTTAAGAGGTGTTTTATCATATTCTGATGAAATAGCTTCATCATTACGAAAAAGACAGAACTTGTAAATTGATATCCTTTGTTACCTCTAACCTAATCGTTTTTTATAAACTTTTAAATCCTGAATATGGAGAACCTTTTTTTGCTCTTAGTTCAATGTATTAATGATGGGTAGTGGCTAGCAGGGGAATCCAGGATGCGCATTTCGTCCTACTTGGGAATCCGAGATCATTTAAGGTTTCACCATTTGTCTTGTACCCCTCTGTATTAGTAGATAACGGTAGTAGTAGGCAAAGTCACTGGCATATATTTGTACTGGATCAACCCGCATCCATTTTTGTTGTCAAAGCAAGTGACAAGAACTATAAAATCCTATTTCCCTTGATGCAGCGCCTCATTTTCATCACTTTCCTTGTCTGAAATAACTATTATTCTATTCATTTCATAGTGAATTGCTTTATGTCATGAAGTCACAAAACATTTTTTATAACTACTCTATAGTGATAAGAGGAAATAAAACCATCCGATCCATATCATATTGTCCAAGAAAAGAATTCCAAAAAGATTTCTGCCTAAATAAAACGCCTGTCATGGCTTCAATCAATAAGAACAGCTTTTACATTCCTAAGAAAGAATGAACTGCACACACTTAGCAAGTTTTTCATTAGTTTAGTCAGCTGGCATTCAGTTTGACTGCCCACTTCTCAACGTAGGTAGACTAAAAAGTATCTTGACTTGCATACACTTCTCCTTATTAGCCAAGAAAACTAAACCTTGGACATTCAACAAATTTGTCATTTGATGTGACGCCAGTAGAAACGCATTAAAGTTCTTATTCAAATTCCTATGCACACTTATCACTTGTACTAACAAAAACAGTATAGTAGAGTCAGTCTAGACTCCATTGGGTGAAGTAGGAAACAGTTTGAACTGATGAAGCAGTGTTCACAGTCAAAACAGTCATATGCTTTACAAGAAGATGAACTTCTCGTTACACTTCCATGTCTCGGTGCTTATCATGTGCCTTGAATTAAGTTTCTATAAATATATGAGTGCTTATGCTTTAAAACAACACCATTCATATGTCACAAACAAATCCTGCAGTTGTGATAATATCGCAGACTACCTTTGTCTACAAGGTTGTTTAGAAGATAAGCTAATTCAGCTACAGACAATGTATGAAACACTACTAGAAGTTCATTTTATAAGCTGCACCGAACTAAGGTCTGATCTGTTTCCTCTTACTATTAATTAGAAATATGAATGTAGTGAGTTTTACAGATTTTATTATCTTGCTTCATTTTCATTACGACGAACGTAAGTAAAATATTAATAATTTACTTCAAAAGTGGTGGCATTAAAGTGATAGAATGTTATATTTAGGAGAACAGAGATAACAGGAACAAACTTACGCGGAATTACATTAATTTTAGTGGCTGAACTTGTGGACATCTGACGTTTGTCATATTCATATGACACGCGGCAAACATATATACCTGATTCATGCATTTTGATGTGACCCAATTCTAATTTCCATTGGGTTCCAACCAGAGTACCGTTTGGGTTACGCCATTCATATCGAAATGGTCCAGCGCCATCGGGTTTATCATCTCCGCTAACATTGCACAGAATTCGAACCAAAATACCTTCTTCAACGTCTTGAGTTATAATAGAATCAGCTGAATAGGAACAAAAAATATAGTCAAAGCCGAAATAATCATTCCCTTTGATAGACAAATTCCTAAGTAAAACTGATACTTGTACAGTGTAGATCACATATTACTGTAAAAATAAGTTATGAAAGAATTCCACAATGTTGTTAAAATCAAAACAAAATGTTTCCGAACAGTTTGCTGTATAAGCTACTACTTCATCAGAATATTTGTGTTTATTCTCTAAATGAATAGTTTTATTCAAAGAAATTCAACTACGCATGCACACACTATGACACTAATTGCCTATTGTAAAACTCGTCTCATTTCAATGAGGTGCAAGGATTATCTTCTTCTTTGTGGTCACGTCTCAGAAATTGTTCAGATTTGTTCATTTTCGTATAATTCATGAAGTATCATTTGAATTCTACGGACTTTTAACTAGATTCCACTAAAAATTAATCCACTTTTCATTGCGGAACTCATTTCTTATCAGTAATGTTACACTTCATTCTATTGGTGCTATATGTGAGAATTATACTTATATGTGTGAATAAACTAGAAAAGTGTCCAAATATTAGCTAATCACCAGGACCACCTATTCTAGGAGTCTCATAAGTGAGTTGAGAAGTAAGGAGAGAATAAAAGAATAGAAATTTATTACTGCATAGAATACTACACTGATTTAACACGTTATGTTTTTAACAAAAATTAGGCGTTGTGTAGTTTAATCAGATAAAAAGAATACCATATTAAGCCTATTCATTTGTCAGATATATTGTCCAAAATCTCAACTTTGTGATAAGAAACTAATATGTTCGACGAACGGGTTCCTAAATAGCAAACAATAAATTACTTAGACCTTTAAATACAACTTTCTAGTAACTGTGGAAAAGCATAAGACGTTTTGCCAAGTGGATCTGAACGTCGAATATTCAACAATTTGTATTGAAAGCACTACTTTTAATCGCTGCGTCCCATATATTGTCCGTAGAGTTCGATTGCTGCTTGGAACTTATAAAAAGATACATTTATTGCTATCCAGTGGCAAATTTGTCACTAGGAAATCCTAAAAGGACCAATGAAATGCTTAACAGCAATTTCATACCAAACAGTTCTACTTGATATAACATCCAGTTATACATTATTATTGACCAGAAGTTTCGAACACAGTTTATCACTTTATATTATTTGATATTCATATAATAGGATTTTCCATATAATCAGGATCGGTATTGAATCATTCTTATGATATTAGCTGAGTGCTTGTTCTATGAACTACAATTCAATATCCAACATCTAGCTTGTCCTAATTACACCAGTCTTTAAAAGTGTTAATTTATTTCAAACTACTGTATTGGTGCATGCATAAGAACACTTGAAATTTTCCGTGATCTGCTGAATATCGAATTATATTGAGTAATACTTCGCAAATCTGCTCTCAGCAGTAAATTTTCTGAGTTCATGACTGAGGGTGAGTATTCAACCTATTTCAGAATCAATTACCAATAGCTTTTAGTTTGGTTTGTTGCTATGTGTTAAAATGCGCTAGAATTGAAAAAAAAATGAATAGAAGTAAGCCGTTTCGCATCACCTTTAGAAATAAGAATGGGATAAAAATATTATTCTGGTTGGTACTCATCATGGAATGACATCAGTTGGAGAAACATTGGAAACCTGGGAGAACTGGACAGCTGTTTCGTTAGTTAGCGATGATGGTGAATACCAACTTGAAAAATCATTAAATCCCCCCACAAAACCCCGAAATCCATTAACAATATTGTCAAAGTGTTCATGAATACATGATCTAGGAAAGTTTAGTGTTCGTATGGAGCACAAATCACAAACTTCTTTAGAATTTTCTTAGTCTTTCTCATTAACTTTACCGGTACTCTCCAATTTTCACTCAGTTCTATTACGTTCTCCATGATACTTGTCAATCATTTACAGTATGGTGATAATTAGAATTTTATATTATGATAAATGCTTGCAGGAACATAATACACTTCTGTAAATTACATAAAACGAATACATTGGTCAAGTACATATTTAGTTTGGGAATACTAATCAGTATTTGAGTGAGTCAAATCGGTTTGCAGCATGTTACCACAATGCTATCTCTTTATTTCCTGCAAGAACAAAACTGAGAGATAATGCTTGTTGCAAATTGTAAACGATAAAAACGTTAGATAGCTTGAAAGTTGCATTCTAACGACAATATTTCATACAATCGGTGCGAAGTATTTGCAGTAGTTTTCAGCCATCATTAATTGCTCCTCAGATAAACTTCATTGACTATGGTACCATCGCTGTGCAACTGAAGGTTACGTAAGCTGCAGTGAATAAAGTTCTTATCTCTTTGAATTCTATTGCTCATAGAAACCAACCTCTGTTCAGTTTAACTCACGAGCAAACAGAATTCTTATTCATATTCCCGTGTATAAATCTACCTAAAAATATTCATCTAAAGGTAGATGTTACAAAAATTTCATTGAATAAAATGTACAAGAAACTAAAACTTGGAAAACATAAAGTGAACAGAATTTTAATAAGATTTCAAAGAAGAAACTTTGCGTAGGCAAAGACAGCAAACCTAATTGGTGTAAGACTAAAGTACACCTTCAAACATTTGGTAGGATAAATATGCTAGGGTAAGAAGAATGCAAAATTCATTTAGTAAAAAATAATCAGAAATTACCTGTACAAATCAGTCTGAGAGATACTGTAATCTGGTTTGATATTTATCAATTTTGACTGGAGTATTACCATCTTTTGAAAAAAGACTGTATCTAATACTGCTACCTATAGCAATAAATCAATCAGATAGGAAATTTGCAGACATTTTTCATGCGCGAACAATAATAAAGATAGTGTGCAAGAAATGAAAATAAAAATGAATGAGCGAAAAATGTTTATCTCAGACTGCTTAAGATAAACGTTTTTCTTCTGATAAGAAATTGTCCTGAAATTATACCACTGTATTGAGAATAAAATGCTTAGTAAAGTCATTAGTGGGACTATATTTATTTATGCATACTAAGAACAGTAATATCAGCCTATTTTAAAGTCTTTCCACATAACAAATGAAAAACGTAAATGATCTTGAGTGAAGGTTTTAGTTGCCGTCATTTAGACGCCATTGAATATTTTTAGAAACTGAACATATATCTGTCTTCACAAGTACTCCAGTTTAGGTGAATGTAGTAGAGACTGATGACAATGCCACTTAACTAGTCATTAATTGACGGGATCTTAAATTAAGTAAAGATGATAAAATGAGTGTTAAGTGCTTGAAAAACACAACTAATTACAAGTGACCTTTCCGTATAACCAACTGTCTTACTTCCATAAAATTCATCGGACACCTAAAGCCAACAAGTGTCCCTATCAAATAATTGTGCATGCTGAAACCGACACGATGAAGCTGACTGATGGTTTTTTTAACTAAAAGACCTAAAGCCATTTTGTGCAGCGAGGAAATCTTAAATAGTTTGCTTTCGCAGTACTTCAAGACCTTTTCAATTTGTCTTTTTTAGTTGGAAAACGCCTCACCAAAACTGAGGATAAAACGTCCACGACAAAATTCCAGAGCTCATACCGCACCATACCGCCATCATCCACATCTTGAGCTATAAATCCTTTCCACCATTTCCTCATGTTTTTTGATTTTCTGTACCTTGTACTGATGTTCAGTGTGAATTAGCTTTAGGCCTCTGTGGTTTCTTGCTTCAACAGCAAGACAAAAGTAACCAAGAGAAAAACATGGTCTCTCAGTCAGAAATATTTTCTACTGTTTAATGATCGTCTCTATGTGGTGAGTGTAATGGAGGATACAGAACTCAGTAAGTCATATCAAAACTATCAAGCCACCAGTAAAATGATGGTTGTTTAAGAACTTATGTATGTTGGCCGATTCTCAGTCGTCAGTTAGAAGGGATTGCCTAATGTTTTTGTAAATACGAAGATAACTATAGGTCCTTAGTCGATATGGCGTTTCTGTTTTAAGCCAACGAAATGACTATTTCTAACAACAGGACACAGCTTACACTATTTTACCCACTGAGATATTTTAATAATATACTTATCAGAACATTTAAGCACAGTCGTTTCCCAGCTACTCTGAAACAACATACCCACACACTAGACAAAAACCTATTAACAGCTGCTCGTTTTACTTGGTTTATGTAGCCCATGACTACTTTTAGTATTTACTAATTTATTAGGTAATCTACATTTTTGAAGTCTATCACGAAAGTGACTAGCAATAAAGAGTTTCTCTCCATTTGTATGAATAGAATATGAACGTCTTTTTGTGTGCAACTGATGGTATACCTTTTTGTTTGTTGTTCAAAGGAGATTTTGATCTTCAATCACTTATTTGACGAGCTGATGAACTTGTTTCTTTGAAGCAGCTTACTGCAGATACTGTCGACTATCAAATTCGAATTTGTAATCAGAAGCTTTATATAAATTAGGTTTTACAGGTAGCGGAACAACTTTATCAATAGTGGTTTCTCTCTCACTCTAATTTCATTCTCTGTACTGCTAAATATGTCACAGTTTAGCCAAAGGTTCACTGTCTAACCGACTAACAACCAAACGATAATTAAGCATGATGAATTTTCATACTTCGGGCGAAGCCAGTGGTTCAAGGATTACACAAGCAACTCTTTAGTTTATTGAACTCCAGGACACTCCAACCTCTTTAATGAACAATTTTTTGTAAGCCTTCCTCTCTCTATAACGCAGAAGATTTACCTTGATAAAGCGGAGTTAACAGAATATCTTACCTTACCACTAGAGCGTATAATAAGTTATTTCACTCGGTATATCACGTAAGAAAACTTTAACTTTGGAAGAATACATAAACAGCATTCGAACTTCGTTATCAATGCAGTCACACACATTTCGATCTGATGATGAAAGTTAGTAAAAATGCAGTCTTCACATCTGGGTGAATCTGATTTCCATAGAAGTGGTTATGAAAACCACTTTTAAGTACTTCTTTTATTCAACAGTAAGAATTC